GAGGAAAGATCCCATGATTGATAGTGATGAAAAATGCCACATATATGCCATTTCTGAAGTAATGAATAGTTTTCATTCCCAAAGAAACAATTTAAAATATAATTTTAAAACATTTACTTCTTCCAGCTCTGGAGGGGAAGTTTCTAATTTTAGAGAAGCGAACACATCTAGGTGTCATAATTTGCCCCGAGCAAACAAGAAGCTTTACTGAATTCTTACTATGTCCAGGTATTGGGACTAAATTATTTATAGGTGTTATCTCATTCAGTTCCCAGTTAACAATCCTGAGACAGGTGCTATTATTAGTTGCATTCTGTGGATAAAGGAAACTGGGTCTGAGAAATCAAGGTATTTTCCCAATATATCAAGGAGTAGGAGAACTGGGTTTCAATCTGGGTCAGACTGACCTTGGAGTTCCACTATGCTATTTTGTGAACATTTAGAATTAGAGGAATGGGTATATACCCAATTTAATAGTGGTTACCTACAGTGACAGGATTACAGACGATCTGAAGATACCTTTTGTTTTCTGGATTTCTATAATATATTATTTCGTAATGAGAAAAGTAGTTTTTAAAAATGTCTTTGCAGAAAAAAAAATGTCTTTGCAAGAGTGTATCCCTATCAAACCATATGTTTGTTAAGGAAACATGGAAAAGTGTTAGGTGTCTTAGTATGGGTAAGAATTAAAACAATTTTCAATTTTTGTAATATATATATATCAATTATTTTATTTAGCTTTAAAAATTTAATCCATAAAGGAAAATTTATAACATCTATGGAACCATTAAATACTCTAATATTCATTTCCTAATATCCATTTTAATAAACACGTAAGTATCAACATTTTAATAAGCCTGTCTGTATTATGTAAAATTATACTAATTGAATTTTAGGAAACATGAATTAAAATCTGAGAAAGATGGGGAGGATAAGCAGATAACCGTAAGATAACTTTAAGTATGTTCATATATGGAGGAAAAGCAGTGAGCAAGACAGTTGATAGAGCAAGTCCCCAGTTAACTGGACTACAGGCACACATAAGTATTAGCTTTGGGGTAAAAAAACTTTTCTGAGATGGAAGGTATGGAGGAAAAGATGAGTTAAGAGAGAAACTGAAGTGGAGGAAAAATCAGATGAATAGAATTGACTTTATTAGCTACTTTAAATCAATTGGGAAAAACATAGCCTCTTAAGTACAGCGTGGGACAAAAGTAGTTTTGCAGTTGTTCGTATGTAAATTAATACAATAATTAATAATAATATAATAAACTTTTTCATACGCACAACTGTAAACAAACTGTTGCCCCATCCTGTATATAGCATGTAAAACCATTTATATGAAGCCTTAGCTAGTTTGTCTCAGTGGGTAGAGCGTCAACCTACGGACTAAAGGGTCCCAGGTTCGATTCCGGTCAAGGGTACACGTCCAGGTTGTGGGCTCCATCCCCAGTGGGAAGCATGCAGGAGACAGCCAATCAATGATTCTCTCTCATCACTGATGTTTCTATTTCTCTCTCCCTCTTCCTTCCTCTCCGAAATAATAAAAAATATAAATATATATATTAAAAAAAACATTTACATGAAAATCCACTAAGGGGGAACTTTAAAAATAAAGTTTGCTTATCAAACTTCCCTGGTTATCTGTAGTAACTTTAATTGTGCTAGGACCAATTTTAGGAAGTTTAATAGAACCAGTAGGGGTATCAGTAACTTCTGATTTCTAGACTTTTCTTGAAGATAGTTCCTTGAGGAGCAAAAACTTCCCAGTAGAGTTCTATAAGAGTCAAATAGCAAGATCCTTCGGTAAAGTCATTAATTCATTTTCAGTGAAATATTTACTTGCCTGAAGCTAAATGTACATGCCTTGCTCTGAGCCTTTGTACATTCTCCTTCCTTCCCATTAACTAACTTTTACTCATTTTTTCCATACTCTAAGCTTCAAAGTTATTAGGCAAGGCCTTCTATTCTTCTCTTTATAGCACTTATCACAACTATTATTAATTTTTAAAGTAATTATTTTAATGTCGATCTCCCCTTGACACACTGCAAGCTTCATAAAGAAGGGCAGAGACTACTGTATTGTGTTCAGTGCAATACAAGCACCCAGCAGCCTATTTTGGCCTATAGGAAGAGTTTAATAAATATCTACGATACCTTCTTAAGATCTTTGTTAACAGAAGGATACAATCTTGGTAAGACACAAGAAACCTTTGCACATACATCTGCGGCTAATTCCAGGAAGCACTATTACTTTCTTCTCACAAATCAGAGGACCATTCTTCATAGATTCCAATAACTGGCTTATAAGAAAACAGGGATAGGAAGAAATTGAAAATATTCAGCAGAAATCTTTAAATTACTGCATCTCTATATTTCCATTACCTACATCCCCTTTTCCAATGGCAGAGGTAAATGGGGGAAAAAAAAAAAGAAAAAAGAAAAGAAAAAAAAAGTAACAAGTGAAATATAAACTCCTTATCACCCTCTAACAGAGCTGCTGTACCTGCCAGCATACAAAATGGAGATTTGGAATACTGTTTGTCATTAGGCAATCCAAACTTTTTTAAACAACTCAGTATTACAGGGAATAAGACCTTGAAAGTATGTAAAGAGTAACCCAAATGTATTGTTTTAAGGATAGTTACACACACAAAGCAGATATTAAGAGGGAATAACTAATGTAACAATTTTAAGACCGAGCACTTTATCTTACAACAGTACAAGGAGAGGAAGGAGGAGGAAAACGCTACAGAGAAATGCAAGATAGAGGGAAAGACATGCTCATATTAACTCATAAATACTGCATGCAAGAGGACAATACCAAAATGGAGAGAACAATCGGTTGGCAATCACAGTGGGGAAATGAGGGTCTACTGGATGGCTGACACCGCCACAGCGGTGGTAGGGGAAGAGGAAGGAGGAAAGGTACACAAGAGGCCTCTAGCAGCAATAACCCCGAGATAAAAGTGGTCAGAATGCTGGGAAAGCAGAAGGTACACTTGGCAACGTTCCAATGGTAGGGAAAAACCAGCAGCACAGGAAAACAGGGCTGAAAGGTGGACAGACCAGTAGGTGAAGACATGTCTCCAGGGCAGTGCACACAGGAAGCAGTCACAACTGACTGGAGCCCATCATTTGGTTCACTGCTTTTAACCGACTCCTGTCTCTCTGCACCCACGTCCCTAGTATTTTTAAAAAGCTGTCTTTACATTTGCACTACCACATGTATTTCATACCACCTAGAAGAGACTCGGTTTCACCCATCGATCTGCTGCAATGCTAACAGGTGTACTGGCCCCAAATTCTCCCTCCCTCCTTGCCAAATGCGGGATTCAGGTCTGCTAAAAGGCACACCTTCTCCCCAGAGCCCGGCCCCTCTGAAAGCCGTAGGCCTGATGCTAGAGGTTATCTTCCCTCCTGCGGTGACATTTCCATTTCATCTGTTCTAGTTTTGACTTTGCTTTACACATGAGGATTCCTGGTTAAGATTTCATGGGGAGGGATTGTTCCACTTCTTTTTGGAGTCAAAGCACTATGCTTTTGTATGTTTTAAAATCGGATCTTCTAATGGGGAAAAGGTTAATTTTTAAAAATCTCTCTCCCTCTCCCCATTTCACAGGTCCTAAAACGGATGTTTGAGAGTCAATTGGATAAACGTTCTTTAGGCAATAATTACATATCCCCATGTGTTGGTGATCTATTTTTAAGACGATCAAGCCGGGCCCAGTCCAAACCTGGGAGGGGTGTGTGGGCTGGCACACGAGTTAAGGCTTTCAAAGCGGTAGGACTGACAGGCGAAGCACAGCGTGCAGGCACCGAGGCGAGAGCTTTTTCTCTTACAGAAACCGAAAGACTTAACAGCACGTTTCCTAACGGGAAGGGCTCCCTTGCGAGGGAGAGGCCTCCACGTCCTTCATTCCCATGAGCCGTCCGACCCCGGCTTTGGGGGAACGCTCTGGTCCCTGCTCTCAGTAGAGGGGTAGGCTTCCTGCAGCAAGTATATTAAGGGTCGCTTCTTCCCCGCTTCAGGATAATAACGGGCTGCCCGGAATGCAGCGTGGGAGGTGCGGGGACGGCGACAGGGACACAGGAAAAAGGGGCAGAATCCGCGCCGTCCAGCGGCCCCCAGGCCTGTCAGCTACTCACCCACCCACCCATTCCCATTCTTTGGTCTAAACTTACCAGGTGGGAGCTGCGGCCCTGGGCAGGGAGTAAGAAAGTGGGATGGGTCCGGTCGAGTGCCGCTGCGCTTCTTAGCGACGCTGCCGGGAAGAATCTGAAACCCAGTAGCCGCCGCAGCCTCCGCTACCGCCTCTGTTACTGGGGGGTCTCGCCTCCATCGCTGGCTGCGAGAACTCTGAGGGCACGTGACCGGAAGTGCCAAGGCGGGCCGGCGGGGCACGTGACCCCAAAGCACGGCCGCCATGACACCTTCCGCTGGTTCCCTCCCTCCCCCGCCGGAACCCGCCTGGTTTCATTTTCTCTCGCCGGCTTCCAGCGGGGAAGAGTCCCGGGATCCTGGCAGGCTCACCCCTTTGGCCTAGAGTTCCTCCGGTTCCGGTCGGCGCTTTCTCTTCGGCCGGCAGCGGCCCACTAACTGCAGGCCGCAGAGAGCGTAATTGCGATGGCGGACTGAGGGGGAGGGACCACGCGGAAGCAGGGGCGTAGCCCCTCACGTGACGAGGAAGTACCGTTAACTGCGCTGTCCCCGAGTCCTCGACGCTCCGGGATGACGTAAGCCTGGGCGGGGAGGAGTGAGGGGAGGGGCGACGGGAGAGACCAGCTGCTGTGTGCCTCTCAGTGTTCGGTGAGTGTCCGGCGCCCAGCCTGGAGGGACGGTGCGAACCGCTGCAAATTGGGGGCTACTGTCCTGGAGATAGTGGTGCAGGACTGGGACTTGGATTTGGAAATTGGTTACCGAGGCTCCTCCCCTTAAGAGATGAAGACGACATTAGAGTTTAGCTGTTAAAGTTAGTAGTTCCGCTAGGCGGGGAGGTTTTCTTGTCGGCAGGGCCTGTCTCCCCCGCGGGGACGAGGCACATCGAGTGCGCGAATGAGTGAGTCGCTATTGCTGTCCGCGGTGGAGAGTTCTCTGATTGTTACTTCTTGGGTGGGAAGACCGAAATCTCCTCCTTTCCCTTCACACAATAACTCTAACGTTTGCTTCCTTTCTTCTCTTTTGCCTCCTCTTCCATGCGAAAAAGAGGATGCTGTGATTTGGGTTTGGTGTGAGCAGCAAACTCGGGTTCATTAGGGAAGTGAGTACAGCACTAGGGTGATGAGAGAACTTTTTCTCGATCCTACTACTCGATTGTAGCAACATGGAAAGGTGATTAGGTTTTGGACTCAGGAGAAGTGGATTCTAGCCTCAGCTCCACCTTTAAAACCTCTGTGACCTTGGGCCAGCAAACCCCTCAAGAATTTGTTTCATTAACTTTGGTAAGCATTTATGACCCCCTTCTGTTGGCTTAGTTTTTTTTTGCTAGGCTGGAGGTGCGACAGACTTAACGGAAGAACTATTTAAACTTAGGTTTCCAGGAAGATAGGATTTTGTTAGACGGAGGGAGATTCAAGAAACAGCCAATATTAAAATTATGGAGGCACAGAATGTTGACGGGGAGAAAGAGGAACAAAAGATAGCTTCATGTAGTTGGAGAAGAGGAGAGAGGATAGGATGGAAGACGAAGCTGGAGAAATAGGGCTAAGATCATAGTTTCTGTAAGAAGGGTAGCTGTTGAAGGTTTATGTGGAGCTTTTCTAAAAAAAAACTTACAGAAAATGTCACACATAGATAAAAATACGTTAATTTAATGAACCCTCATGTACACGCCATCCAACTTTAACAATGATCAGCATTCTACTGTTCTTGTTTGTACAGAGCTTTCCAATTTCTAGGTACTTTTTATAGCCATTGTTACATTTGATTAATAGCAGCTTTCAATTTGAGCTCAGTTCTACTCTGTGTAGGTAGGTACTGACCATTTTATGTGAAAATTTCTTTGAGTTGTAGCTGACCACTTGCTCTGTTGAATCCAAGTGTGGTATGGCAATTTTAAAAACACATCTGGTGCTATTTTAGGTAGTAAGATAGAAACTTAGTGTCCATATCAAGTAGGTTAGTGTTTCTACTCTATTCTGTTACCTAACTACTTAAGGAGTATTATGTTCAGTTCTAGGCAACACGTTTTCGGGTAAACTAAAGTGCCTGTGTAGGTTGACCAGAAGAGAAGAACTGGGACATTGTCATGTAAGAAATGACTGGAAAGCTGGGAGTGTTAAATATTTAGAAGACCTGATAACACTTTTCAAATACTGAAGGGTTGTTTTGGAAGGAATAAACTTATTCCCATAAACCAGCGGTTCTCAACTTGTGGGTCGCGACCCCTTTGGAGTTCAAACGACCCTTTCATAGGGGTCGCCTAAGACCATCGGAAAACACATATATAATTACATATTGTTTTTGTGATTAATCACTATGCTTTAATTATGTTCAATTTGTAATAATGAAATTGGGGGTCACCACAACATGAGGAACTGTATTAAAGGGTTGCGGCATTAGGAAGGTTGAGAACCACTGCCATAAACTATAGAATCCACAGTTAGGAATATTTAGTAAATGCTGTAAGTGAACACATTTCAACCCAATATTTGAAAAAAGACCTTATAATACTGAGAGCTGGAGAAGTGGAATGGGCAGCTTCAAGAGAGGAAGCATTCCTTTTCCAGTGCTGAAAATGTTCAGAGGTCCAGGTTACAACTAATTTCTGAGTTAGGTGGGTGTATGCACTTTGAATCTTCTTCCACCTTGAGAATTTTGGGAAGTGGGACTTATATTAAGCCTGAAAGGCTGGGTGTATTTGAATAAGTAGGTGTGGAGGGAGAGGAGTCATTTCAGGGAGAGAGAAAAGTATACATTTGGATTTGGCTTAGCACTATCACCCAACAACTGCTCTTGAGAACTGATATTGCTTATGCTGTTTCTTTTCCATCCTTATCTCCACTAAGTCTTAAGAGCAAAATGGTTTTTTACTCCATTAAATCATAACTTCCAGGACATTCTCTCTTCACTGAGATCAAGGCCAAATGGCCTATCAGCTGCAGTTTGAAGATCACTAGTAGAAGAGATCGATACTGTGGCCTTGATGTCAGTCCTTTTTTCAGGATCTTGTACTGTGGTTTTATCTTTTTCTTGTATCTTCAGATCCTTTCATTTTAGAGACTCTTTTCTTTTAGCTAGTACCTAAACTGTTTTGAGTTTTGCCTGGTCAGAAAGCCAAGAATTTGTTTTCTTTCCACCAGATTTATTTAGTAATTGAAAAGCCTTATCTTTACTTCCTCACCATCCATCCTTCTCACATAACTACCCACAGGACTTCACAGAAATTATGTGATCATCCAACACAAATTTTCCAATACCTTTATTTCCTTCCAAATTAAAATTTGTTCAGGTTCCTTGGTTTGAGATTCAAAGTGTTTTGTAACTTATGCTTGAATGGCTATTCCAGCTTTATCTTTCATTATTCCATTGCTTGGATCCTGTGTTTCAACCAAAGATTAAATTTATATTCTCCAAACATATTCTATATATCTTTGCTTATTGCTGCCCCACCTGTTACCCTCACCCATTTTCTTCTGATAAAAGCCTGTTCAGCTACCAGGGCTATTTCCCTTAGGAAGTTTTCCATGGTTCCTTTGAACTCGTGATTATCTCTGGTTTTTAAGTTCCAATATAGCACTTTGCTTATGTTGTCCTTGTGAGAGATGTGCGTATGTGAGAGAGATTTGTTCTTTTTTTTTTTCTCCTATTTGAATTTAAAATTATTGATTTCTGGTATTTTATTTGTCCTGTTCCCACTGCTATGCCTCATATTTTACTAAGTACTCAATAAAATGTATTAATGGGGGAAAAAAAGATTTTTCTTCGGTCAGGAATTCTCAAATATTTTAAGTATGGACATACTCATTTTATTGCACTTTGCGTTATTGTGCTCCACAGATGTTGCTTTTTTACAAATCAAAGACAAGCCCTTCCACCAGTAAAAAGATTATGACTCATTTTATTGCTGTACTCACTTTATTATGGTGGTCTGGAACCAAACCCGAAATATCTTGAAGTATGCCCATATAGGATGCCTAAAGATTTTTCTTTTTTTGAATATTATTCTCCTTGCAGAGGTTAAGATGTATTACGAACAGTGTTACTAGCATATGCTAGATACTTATTGCTAGAACATAAGACTATATTATGTGTATGCAATAAAAATATCTTAAGCTTGTATGTGCTTTGTCACTAGAAGGTATGCTCCATGAGCATTAAGACTTTATTTTGTCTTATTTTGTTGTCCCTGGGACCTAGAACAATGCCTGGCACATAGTTTGTGCTAGGTACATATTTGTTGAGTAAATGAATGAGTGAATTTATGTGTCTCTGAAAAAACACAAAGTGTAAACAATCAAAAAACAAGTATAAGCAATTGCTTCTCTAAAAAATTTTTTTTATTCATTGATTTTAGAGAAAGGAAAGGAGCGAGAGCGAGGGAGCAACATTGATTTGTTGTTCCACTTATTTATGCAATCATTGACTGATTTGTGTATATGCCCTGACTAGGGATTGAACCCACAACCTTGGCGTAGCAGGACGACGCTCTAACCAACTGAGCTACCCGGCCAGGGTAAGTATTTGCTTTATATTCTTAATTTGGCAGGTAACAAAGGATTGGGAAAATTTAAAATTAAGGGGTAGACTTTTCTTAACTTTTATTTATTTCCTTTCTTTGGAAATTGATGCAATTTGACAAAAATGTATACTTGAGAGTTGTTGAACAGTTAAGAACTCTTATTTTAGTTTACAAAGTCCTCATTGGGTATTTGGCATTTGCTATCAGGTCTCTTACTAAAGTCTTTATTCCTCTTCAAGCTGTAATTACCTGCACTTGACTTGTCACTTACTTAGTAGGTGCGTTCATTTATTCAGCAGATACTTAATGAGCTCCTGATAGGCAGGAGAAAGAGATCCAGAGGTCTATTCCTTTAAGCACTATTAAATTGTTGACTGATAACCATTGAATTTGCTGATAAGGATTTATAGTTAGAGGCCTTTTTTGAAAATTGCCCTTTAATAAGGAAAATTGCTGTTTAATGAAAGACACTTAAAGACAGATGATGATTTACAACTTAAATGCAGCTAGGGTTGCTATTTTCCCATAGAGGAGCTTGACCAATTTTCCTCTTAAATCCTGCAGTGTTGCTCAGATGGTGTGTCTCAGTAGTTGAGTGTCAACCCCTGAACCAGGAGGTCAGGGTTCGATTCGAGGTCAGGGCACATGCCGGGGTTGCAGGCTCGATCCCCAGTAGGGTATATGCAGGAGGAGCTGGTTGATGTTTCTATCCTTCTCTCCCTCTGCCTTCCTTCTCTAAAATTAATAAAAACATATATTAAAAAAATCCTGCAGTGTCCATTCTACCTTCTCACACTATTAGATGAGTGGGGTAGGATTATGGAGGGCCTTGAGAATCTGGACTTACTCTGGGAGGTTTAAAATCAGGAAATGATGCAGTACAAGCTGATGTTTGCATGTTACCTATGCGTGTTTTCTTTCCACCTAAAGGCTGAACACCTCCAGAGTAGGGATTCTTATCCCTGTCTTTCCGTGTTCTTTACATACTCATTAAATGCATGTCAAACGAGTGCTTTGCTTCTTAAATTATGTTTTTTCAGGTTTAATTCAGGAATCCTGTGCCTATCACTCAACATAGTTTCAACTTTCCAGCTAAATGACTTTTGTGCCAGTCATACTGGAGTCCTACACCCATGTTCTTGCAGAGTTTGAGTCTCTGGATCCATTACTTTCAGCCCTAAGGCTGGACTCAAGTCGTCTAAAGGTGAATTTCTTGATATGAATGATTCACATTCATATTCATATGATTGTGTGCTCTCTGTTACATGTGCCTCCTGCCCTTTAGTTCTTTATGTTTTATGGAAACTTGAGTATTACCTATACTAGTATTAAGCATTACTGCCTATATAGCATGTTCATAGCTCTTTCTTTTATTTTTTGAGCTATCATTTGAATTCTTTCCTGTCCTTGGAAACCATGGTATTGATTGCTGATTTTCCCCCTCCTCTCAGTAATCTTCCTGTCTTCTTTCAGGAAGTAATGTATTTGATTGAAAATAAAATAGTATAAATGAGTTTTGAGCAACATGAACCTCTGCTGTTAAACTAACCTCATTCCAAAACAAGGAATTTGATGTACACTCCATTTTAGGGAACAGAGCAAAAGTTATTAGTTCTGTAGCAAAAGTCGTTATCTCATGTGCTTCCCTCAAATACTGAGTTCTTTTGATAAACTCAGGAATAACATGGTGAAGAACAAGTCTCATAACCAATTTTAAAATAATTTTATTTTTACACTTTTTCTCTCACCCAAAGTACCATTGTAGCCTCTGAGCAAAGGGAGAATAGGAAGTAATGGGCAAAATAATATGAGCAACAATTTTAAGGGTCGATATCAGACATGTTTTTAGCTGCAAGTTACAGAATACCTTACCAATAGTGGCTTAAGCATTAATGGTGTTATGAACCTTGTTGGAGGTTAGTATTTCTGGATATAGTGTTGTGGCCCAGTGATTTCCACGAGGACCCAGGCTCTCCATTTTCTGTTCTACCATCATCCATATGTTGGTTTTTAGTCACAGTTGCAAGATAAGTATCCTGGCTCTAATCTTGATGTGTCCATTAGTATCTCAAGCAAGAAAAAGGGGGCCAAAGGTAAAGGCTTTCTTAGTTTTTGGACTCTGACTTTTATCTGGGAAGGTGGGGTTTTCCAAGAAGCCCCATCGTTTTAGTTTTATTAGCTGGATTTGAGCCACATGACTCCCCATAACTGCAAGAGAAACTGGGCAAGTAAGTGTTTAGGTTTTCTAGCTTCTGAGGTGGAAAGCAGCAAGGTTGAAGAGGGTTGGGAATGTCTGTGTGTCAGCCAAGCAACAATTTTACCAGGGGTACAGCCTCGCCACTGCTTTCTCTGGTGGATAAGGAGAGGAATCATCAGGGTGAGGGTGTAGGGGAAAATAGTACGTAGTGATCTTTATCTGTTTCCTCTGCAGTCTCACTTGCTCTAAAAGCTTTGGATGTTTGTGTTGATTATACAAATGCGAAATTATTGGAGTGAACAAATGATTAAAGTGGTGGTGTATTCCCTGGAGACATAATTGATCCTCCATCATTGTGGTCAGAGTTGGAATAACCAAGCTAAATTCTACAAGAGATGAATTACTCATTTATATAATTGAGCCTATTCAGCCATTTTGAGATTCAAAAATTAACAATTTAAAGCCAAAATGTTCTTTCTTATGTATTTTTCAGTACACTAGAATGAGAGCATGAGTGCCATTTTGTGGTATCCAGCTGGGCAGGGGGTGGCTGGGAGAGGAACCTGGTACGCAGATCCTCAGTATGTATTTCCAGTGCATAGTTTATTTGATTAAATGACTGTGGTGATCTCACTCTTGTCTGTTTACATGTTTTTAGTGCACGAGCATAGCTGTATCTCGGAAATGGTTGGCTTTGGGCAGTTCAGGAGGAGGTCTCAACCTCATCCAAAAAGAAGGCTGGAAGCACAGGCTCTTTCTTTCACATAGGGTAAGATTAAGGATAGCTCTGTCATATACCATTCGGAGTATCTTTCATAAATGCCAATTTCTCCATTCTAAATACTCATTTGGAATAAAAGAAAAATATAAAACTTGAGATTTAAAAGTGAAAAAAAAAATACCATTTTTGTGCAACTGCCTAAAATTTTTCCTTTTTGTGCTCTAGGAAGGAGCAATTTCTCAGGTTGCCTGTTGTTCACATGATGATGATTATGTTGCTGTAGCTACCAGGTGAGAAACTGTTTCAAAACTATCTGACCTTATCCAGATGCATTTTAAATGAACAAATGTAGCTGTGTGTAAGGTGACCAACCATCCTGATTTGCCTAGGACTGTCCCAGTTTTTAGCACTGAAAGTCCTACGTCGTGGGAAGCCTCTCATTCCCCAACAAACCAGGATGGACAGTCAGTTGCCATAGTGTTTGTGGAAACTGCTAAAATGAGGCAACAACATTTCAGTGGTCTTAAAAGGGAAAGGTAACAGATAATTTAGAACATCTGAGTTCTGTTATTTTGGATTGGTGGACTAATGCAAGGAAATAAATACCTTGATTTTTTATTTCCTCTTTTCTAAAGAACAAGTTTACATATATATTTAGTATAGTTGATACTGTTATGCAATTAAATTGTACCTTTTCACCATTGCCGAAAATTTGCTTCTTTGTCTCAATTTTTGCAGTCAAGGCTTTGTAGTTGTTTGGGAATTAAATCAAGAGCGTCGTGGGAAACCAGAACGAATTTATGTGTCTTCAGAACACAAGGGCCGAAAAGTTACAGCTCTCTGTTGGGATACAGCGATTCTTAGAGTTTTTGTAGGTGATCATATGGGGAAAGTTTCAGCCATCAAACTCAACACTTCTAAACAAGCAAGGGTAAGAATCAGTCCAGTTATTTGCATATGTGGGTGAGATAAAAGGTGTTATGTCACGGAATTTCAAATAAATGACCAAATTTTTGGGGGGACTGATCTAGAACCCAGAATATTAATTTTGAGAGACTTGTTAGTATGTGGTACATATGGGAGCCTGGTTTAGCTTGATTCTGTTGCAGAATGGCTTCTGTGAGCTAACTTAAGTCTATTATAGTACTTCATAATTTATCTGTATGGCTAACTTAAATAAAGCATTATTTAATACTAGGCTATTAAGAAAGATGCCAATTTATTAGTTGTGTGAATAAAATGGCATCAGTTGCCCAGGCTCCTTTGTAAGGGTAGAAGAAATTCATGGGTCTAGGTATATTTTCCCTGAGGATGGTGAGAATGGAATCTTAAAGGCACCTCCTGGATTGTGCTCAGCTGTGGAGGATCCCAGGCTTTGTGTCACCGTTATTGGGATGGAAGGGTTGAGTCTCAGGTTACCCGACCAGAATGCTCCAGTCTGTTATTAAGCCAGCTTCGCACTGTCTCTCTTCAAAGTTTATTTATTATATAGGAAGTGGGTAACTTGTCTTTTCATTGCCTTATTTCCATGTATGATCCTGGCAGAAAAGAGATCTAACTACCATTGGCTAAATTATTTTAATTACCATATCATAATATTCTTCTGGTTTGCTTGTAATGACCCATCAAGTTATCACTTGATTCTTTATAGTCTTGATCCAAAATATAATTGGAACCTGACACATAGTACAGCCCTAATTTGTCTTTCTTCCAAAGGGAGAAATGCTGTCTACAAATGAAAAATTTCCTTACATATTTGAAAACTTGCTTCATCTTTTCATTCCAACCTCTCAGTTTGGATCATCACTAAGAGAGCCTTAAGATTTCTCTTCTGCAGTTGTGTACCAAATTATTTCACATAACTTTGATATTCCAACAGGCAAATTAAATTTGGTCCCTTAAAAGTTTTTATTTTGCTATTCAAGGTATTTGCATTTAAAAGGTAGAGAAGGAGGTTATGTGTATATGTAATGATAAATAAACTGTATTTCTTTGTTATGTTCCTTTTAGGCAGCTGTTACCTTTGTGATGTTTCCTGTTCAGACAATAACAACAGTTGACTCCTGTGTTGTCCAGTTAGATTATTTGGATGGAAGACTACTTATATCTTCACTCACTAGATCCTTCTTGTGTGACACTGAAAGGTATATTGACCAACCATGTGTCATAGGATATACAGAATTTAAGAGCTGGAAAGGACTTAGAAATAGTGTAACCCATCCCTTTAATTTAATTATACAGATATTCATAAGGAACCAGCTGTGTGCAAGCTGATGTTAGAGAGTAGAGAAGAGATAGAGGATATTGATTCAGTGAAGTGGGTGACTAGGAGAACTATTAACTCTATGTGAATCATGGTCTAAGTGCCATGAAGAAAGGCCAAATAAGGCTTGTTTTAATATGGGGAACCAGGGAAGTTTCCTTAATTGAATTTGTTGTATATTTAATGGAATTTTACTAAAGTGTAAAATTAGATGAAGAATAATTAAGAAATTGTGAAGCTGACAAATACTCTACCAAAATCTCAAGGGTAGAGCCAAAAGTCCAATGAATGGCAAAGGAATATATTAAAGGTATCTGTGCAATACCAGGACAGAATAGGAAATGAATATATATCACTGTGCAGAAGTTCCTCAGCCATTCTCACTGCAGGGAAATTTTCACAGGCTCCCTTTCTTCCCCCAAAACCCCCTTCCCCCGAAAAAATTCCTTAGGACCTTCCCATTTAAAAATATTTTTGGAGTTTTGAGCATACACAAGAGAGAATTGTATAGTGAATCTACTAGCCAGCTCCAGTAATTTTGATGAGGATTTTTGGTAAATGAAGTCTGGAGGAAGAGGTGCAGGGGGGATATTCTAGCAGGAAGGAACAGCCCTTTGGGGAAAAGTGAGCATATTCTAGAATTTGCCAATCTGGATTAAGTAGAGGAGTTGTAGGAAAAAAGTTGTTTAATTGGCATCACACTGAGAACGACAGCTTTAAATGCCACACTGAGCAGGTGGGTTCTCAGGTCATTTTTAAGAAAGTGTACATATAGAAAATCAGAGTTTGGAATTGATTCCTTTAGAACTATCCAGGCTTGGAAAGTCTATTTCCAGGGGTTCATGTATCTCAGGAGACTGCTATTTGAGAAAGCAGGAGGATATTTATTGCAAAAGGTTTGAAGAAATGTGTGCTGACTGTCAGGGATGGTAGAGGAAAGGATGAAGAGAGATGTACTTTGCTTTTTTTGCTTGGGATAAGAAAGGCATATGGGAAGGAGGCCAGTTATAGCAGGTGGCAAGTGTCTGATATCAGAGAACCTAGCTGGATAGCAGAAAGGCAAGGCTTTGAGATACAAGTGGTCAGTTTACATGCAATCAGTAGGAAGGATGATGCACTTGCTTTGGACTTATTTCAGACTATAGTTCAGTGGTGAAGTTAGACTTAACAGAACTGGAGATCATCTTGTGTCACCCTTTAATTTTTGTAGATCAGAAAGCTGAGGCTTAGCTGGGGAGAGACTAGAACCTTTCTGTCCTGATTCTGTGCCCTTCCTGTTACCTCAGTTACTTCAGTTACCTCTAATACATTCTTTGACATTGGACCTTTGGCCATTAACTCCACCCTTGAGATTTTATAAAATGCTTGTTAATTTCACAAAGTTCTTAATTATTTTTCATCTGTAAGCTTCCAAGTTTATCAAGTGGCCCAATTCAGAAATTTGGCTGAGCCCTAGCCAGTTTGGCTCAGTGGCTAGAGCATCGGCCTGCACACTGAAGGGTGTGAAGCGGGGCAGCCGTTAGTTGATTCTCTCTCATCATTGATGTTTCTATCTCTTTTCCCCTCTCCCTCTTTGAAATGAATTAAAAAAATTTTTGGCTGAAATTCTAATAGTCAGAACACTGACTGAAAACACTTTATTAGGATTGTTTGGAGGATCTGATGAAATTGTATATATGAAACACTTTAAAATTAAGAGCTAAATAAGTCGAGGTTTATTTTTCCCTCTGCAATAAACCTAGAGTTGCTAATCATTATTTTGCCATTTCACAGGGGTGTGGCTAGAGTTGGTTATGAGAATAACATAGAATTTACTGCTAAAATAACATATTTTAGAAATGCCCAATTTTAGTAAGTTAGAATTCAGTTTTGGAGACATGGATAGTACCATAATTTTTTCCTTTTTAAATATACTAGAGGCCCAGCACATGAAATTCATGCCCGGGTAGGGTCCCTAGGTCTGCCCTGCAATCAGGGCTGATCTTCCCCAGCTGCCAGCAGCGAGCCCCACCCCCGCCATGCCACCACGTCTGCCAGGGTGATCGGGGCCCCAGCGCCACCCACGTCTGCCGCCACCCACCCTGGTTTCTGGTTCCCCATTGGGCGATTGGAGCCTGCTGGCCGGAGGAGGGACCAAGAGATTGACAGTTCCTGCCCACTTGCTGGCCCTGCCCCCTGCCACCACTGGTTGCCCTCTGTGTGTGGGGCGATCGGGGCCATGGCACTGCCCACGTCTGCTGCCACCCACCCCCGGTTCCCAGTTCCCCATTGGGTGATCAGGACCTGTGGGCTGGGGGCAGCTCCTGCGTTGAGCGTCTGCCCTCTGGTGGTCAGTGTGTATCATAGCCAACTGGTTGTTCCACCGTCTGGTTGATTTGCATATTACACTTTTATATATATAGATTTTTATTGATTTCAGAGAGGGAGAGATGGAAATCATTGATCAACTCTCTCCTGCAGGCTCCCTACTGGAGATCAAGCCTGAAACCTGGGCATATGCTCTGACCAAGAATTGAACCTGGACTTCCTGGTTCACAGGTTGACGCTCAATACAGAGCCACACAGGCGAGGCTAATTTATCAATTGTATGCACCCTGACTGGGGATCGAACCCAAAAACTGGGTATGTGCCTGACTGGGAATTGAACTCTTGACCTTCTGGTGCACAGGATGATGCTCCAACCAACTGAGCCACACTGGCCAGGGCTGGTTCTGGCACTTTTTATTTATTTTTTATATATTTTTAAAATGTATTTTTATTGATTTCAGAGAGGAAGGGAGAGGGAGTGATAGAAACATCAATGATGAGAGAGAATCATTGATCAGCTGCCTCCTCCACACCCCCTATTGGGGATCAAGCCCACAACCCAGGCATGTGCCCTTTACCGGAATCGAACCCAGGATCCTCTACAGGCGGATGCTCTATCCATTGAGCCAAACCGGCTAGGACAGTGGCCGGCAAACTGCGGCTCGGCAAACCACGGCTCACGAGCCGTATGTGGCTCTTTAGCCCCTGGAGTGTGGCTCTTCCACAAAATACCGACTTCTGTGCATGGGCCACGAAGTTTCAATCGCACTTTACGTGCGCGCCCGTGTGGTATTTTGTGGAAGACCCACACTCAAGGGGCCAAAGAGCTGCATGTGGTTCGCGAGCCGTGGTTCTGCCACTTTTTAAAAAAAATATATTTTATTGATTTTTTACAGAGAGGAAGGGAGAGAGACAGAGAGCTAGAAACATCGATGAGAGAGAAACATTGATCAGCTGCCTCCTGCACACCTCCCACTGGGGATGTGCCTGCAACCAAGGTACATGCCCTTGACCGGAACCAAACCCGGGACCCCTCAGTCCGCAGGCCGACGCTCTATCCACCGAGCCAAACCGGTTACGGCAATTCTGCCACTTTTTAAGCTGTGCAAAATAACAGTTTCCCCTTCCAGGATGTAGATAGTTTTCAGGATTAACTAAGGTAATGTATATGAAGTGCCTGTCATATATTGTTTGAAATTGTAGAAAACAAGATTAATGAGCAAACAAATGAGCTGACTGTATTTCTTCACTTGGCAAACATTTATTCTACTTCTCTGGATCCTTAGCATTGTATTAAGCATCATAGACGATATAAAATAAGCAAGAAATATATTTTATTTCCCAAATAAGGAACATAAGTAATAAAATATTGCACATTTCTAGGGACTTTCACATTCATGTTCTCAGAGTAAGGCTAATGTATTTTATTCATGAAGGAAATAAGGACAGAGTTATTTATTGAATTATCTAAGTCAATAGTAAATTCACACTAAAGAGCATATTAGATCATTCTCTAATAAGAGGGTTTGAGTGTATTAATTCAATGACAAAGCCACCAACTTTACAGCTAAAAAAAAAAAGGGGGGGGGTTGAGTATACAAAGCACTACATTATATTGAGTGCTTTCTATGGTCCAGATGCTGTGCTATATACTGGGGATTCAACCAAAGAGGAACAAGAAATGGCCTTTGTCTTTGAGAAAGTCATAATCTGTTCAAATAGACACAATTACCATATATAATGTTGTAAGTGCTATGAAAACATAGCATGGGAAGCATGTAATTCAGCTTATGGGGGTCAGGGAAATCTCAGAGGAAGAATGATGGCACTAAGTCATGAAGAGTAAGAAAAGGAGTTTTTAGAAAAAGACGACATCATCATCATCACCTTCCATGTTCCAGACAGTGTGTTAAACTCAAATATATCTAACTCATGTAATCATAAGGGAACAGAGTTCCAGAAGGATTTAGCATTTTGAGGAAAGAGTAAGGAGATTATTGGGTGTTTGTGGCAGGGGAGTGGCTTGGAAACAGTGCTGGAGAGGTAGATTAGCTTTTCCATGGAATGGCCAAAGAACAAGGTGATTTGGGAAGCAATCAGTAGGATTTACAGATGTATGAAATGGTTTGGTAACACCCATTTTTTTAGGTTTGAAAAGGGTCATCACATTAATTCTGCACTCCTTCTGTGGATAATAGACATGTGAAATGGTTTGCTTCCTGTCACAGAAAGAGTTAATGGCAACTCATTGCTAGAACCTTGTTTTGACCTTTCCATTCTGTGTTCTGTCCAGTAGTATACCTCTCATATGAATAATGAGAAGACATTGTGGGTAGAATTATTATGGCCATGCTGATTTGTAGTGCCATTGTTTTTGACTTTTTGTAGGTAAACATGCTTTCTCTTCCTTTTTGGGTATTAGAGAAAAATTTTGGAAAATTGGAAACAAGGAAAGAGATGGAGAATATGGAGCTTGTTTCTTCCCTGGAAGGTGTGCTGCGGGCCAGCAACCTCTAATATATTGTGCTCGTCCTGGCTCCAGAATGTGGGAAGTGAACTTTGATGGGGAAGTTATAAGTACACATCAGTTTAAGAAACTCCTCTCATCACCACCTCTCCCTGTGATTACTCTCAGGTAAGGTGATTTGTATGCCTGGTAGGGAGTATTTGAGGAACTTTCATGGAGATGTTGGGTTGAAGTCTCTGATTTTTTTTTTTAATGTATTTTTATTGATTTCAGAGAGGAAGGGAGAGGAAGAGTGAGATAGAAACATCAGTGATGAGAGAGAATCATTGATCGGCTGCCTCCCGCACACCCCCTACTGGGGATGGAGCCCACAACCCAGCCATGTGCCCCTGACCGGAATCAAACCTGGGACCCTTCAGTCTGCACGCCAACACTCTATCCACTGAGCCAAACCAGCCAGGGCGAAGTCTCTGATATTTTATATGTGTTAAAGATTATGCCATAAAAGATTCAGAAAACCAAAAGTCTTTCCACCAATTATCTTTCATATGATTTAAAGCAAATGGAGTAAGGCACATGTAATTAGGCATTTGGAGGCAAACATTTTCCTATGGAGGGAAAACATGCTTTTATGTTGTGATGAAATCAATGGGTGTGTTTACTTCCTAGATCAGAACCTCAGTATGATCATACAGTTGGATCCTCCCAGTCTTTGTCTTTCCCCAAACTCTTGCATCTTAGGTAAGTTTCTCAATTTGATCCTTGAAATGCGCGTGCGCGCGCGCGGGCACACGCTCACGCGCACACACACGCGCGCACAAAACCTTTTCTCTGTTTCTTGCTCAGGGGCAGTTATCTTTTAAAGATTATTTTTGTATTAAATTTTAATTCTTAGCATGCAAGGACAAAAATAGTTGTAGAACTTGTTCTTGTAAGCTTGGTGAAACTTTGGCTCTCGGTCCTTTAGGTATTCTGACAAGTGCCTTGCATGAAAGATCTACCTGAGGTAGACTCAGCTGGCCATATTTTAATATCAGGGTTCAGTTAGCCTTCTAGTTGGATTCAGTGCAAAAGTCCACCATTAAGTGGCATCCCAGAGTGCTACTAAAGGCTGTCAGCTGCTGGGCTTGCCAATTCTTACACCTTGTTCTGTAAGCATGGGGATGCCAGTGTGATTTCCAGCCAAATCTATATGTCTGGAACTCTACTTATTTCAACAATGGAAAATATTTGGCCAATGCATAAGGTCTCTAATGCAGATTCAGAGAATATTATTTAGAGCTGACTATAGGTACCCTGAAGTGTAGACTCTTGATTGGGGTTTTTCAAAGGCTAACTAATTGTTCTTAGAATGTGATTTTTTTTTGAACACTTGAAATGTTAACTAATTGCCCCTAACTAATGTATGTATATGTCTCACTACCTACACTGAAGTATTTGAAAGTAAATTGTAAAGTATCCTGAAATTTACTGGAGACAGTTATTTTTTTCACAATTAGATAAAGCATAATAAAAAAACTTTCTTTATGGCTCTTATCACAGTTTAAAATTACATATGCATGCAATATTTATGCCTATCTTACTCTTAGACAGTAAACTTAATGAGGGTGCCATGTCTGTTTTATTCACTATTTATTTTCAGTGCTTGGTATAATGCCTGGCATATATAGACAATTAATAAATACTTGTGGACTATAGTGTGTGGGGTATGGGGAAGTCCCGTACCCAAAAGTATGTTTTCTAATAGCAAGACTACAGTTTGCTTGGTTCTCTTGTAGAGCTATTATTCCTTTGTTTCTGTTATTTCCTACCTGTATACTGTGTCTTGTGGTAACCATTACTGTTATACCCACAAATCCTACAAGAAAGCAAATTTTGTACTTTCTTTTTGAGTACATTGGTATCACCTTCCCTTCTTAAACAATGCTGTTAGGCTTGTGTCCCAGTCTGTTATCAGTGAAGGGATAGGGGATGAGGGATATATAAATTACAAAGTATCAGCTCTTATCTATTCCCTAATCACCACCCCCAATCGAATCTAGTTTGCTACTCCTAAGGGATCTTTCCAAGTTGAATATCAAGTTTAGTATCAAAATCATGATCCTATATCTCTTTATTCAGGGATCCTCTAGCCTCTCATTTTTTCTCCTTTGGCTCCTGAAGGCAGCCTTCTAATTTTACTTACTTTAGACTAGGATTCTGACCATATTTTCCATCTTTGTGACAAAGATCTGGCTCTAATATTGGCAAAATGTTTAATATTTGTGTTAAATATCAGTCTTAGTTTCATTGTTAAATGGTACAATTTTTAGTACTCTTGGGTACATTAAAAAAAATGTCCCTGATCTCAAGGTTATATTTTGTTGGAGAGATATGGTTTATTTCTACAAAAAGTTTAACAACAATAAAAAAGTAAGAGTTGTGACAGTGCAGTACATGATTAATGCCCCATGATCAGGGTTGGCAAGAGGTAGTCTGGGTGCAGGAGGAAAAGCAATTGCTGTGAGCCATCAGAGAAGGACTTCAGAGGTGAGTACAACTTCTGATCCTTGAGAGGTGGCTAGAATGAGAGCATTATAAGTTGGGGAATGATGCCTGGGTGAAGCCAAGAAGCAGAGATTACCAGTGGTGTGTAAAAAATAGTAGTAGCTTTGAGAGAGTAAGTGAGATATATGAGCAAAGGATTATAGAAAGAGCTGATCAGAGATGAAGAGAACCAGAGCAGGAACTGGAAAGGAAAGTGGACCAAGAAAGTGCAGTGTCCCAGAGTCCAGCGAGGCAAGATTCTGGAAAGAAGGACAGCCAGCAGGATTGGCCCTTGCTTAGGGATCAAGAAAAGAAACGAGGAAGGGTTATTGGTTTGGCAGTTAGGAAATCTTTTTGAGAATGCAGTCAAGAGGAATAATTTGGATTCCAGATAACAGTTGGAGAGGATAAATAAGAGAGGAAGTAGATTTTGGGAGGCATAGAGAGAAAAGTCTAGGTTTTGGAGCCAGAGGGTTCTTGGTATAAATTCTGACTCTTATGCATTCATGCTGAATGGCTTTGGGCATATATTTTCATGTTTCTGCACTTCAAATTAAAAAAATAAATACAGACAACACACTTACCTTGATGAGTTGCTACAGGCTTAGATAATTTAAGTAGAATCTTCAGTAAAGCTCCTGGCACATAGTTGACTGGGAGTTTCCAACCTTTCTTGCTCACACACAACTAAGAATATAAAAATATTACCATCCCTTAAAGTAGCTCACTGGAGCAGTGACTGGTGGGGAGGTGCTATGTTTAGTCTTTGTTTTAAATGTTTCCCTGTCATAACACATGGGAAGTTTAGCAGGTTTAACAAACATCAGGAAAGATACCAGCCTTTTTTCTTCTTTTTCTAGAAGATATTTAGCATATATAATTGAATTTTTCCCAGTGGGCATTATATAACTTTTTTTAGCAGTTGTTAGAGACAGAAAAGAGGTAGGTTTCAGGACTTGATTGGCTGATACACTTTTATATTTTCTTTGTACAGGCTAATTTTACTTTGATAGCTAATATGAGGGTCTGAATGCAAGGAATTATATCATAAACTGTATCTGAGCAAACTAGAATTCTCTTGATTCCTTCCTTTTTTTCTTGCAGTGAGCATTGTGTGTTGACTTGGACAGAAAGAGGAATTTATATTTTCGTTCCTCAGAACGTTCAGGTTCTTCTTTGGAGTGAAGTCAAAGGTAATTATATTTTCCTTTTTTATGTAACTTACAATCTCATGCTTATGAAAGATTGAATTATTATAGGAGGATTCTTTTGTAGTGTAAGATGTAAAAAAACAGAACAAGCTGACATTTCTTTTAAACATTAATATCATAGATGTTTCCCTTTGTAAGGTAGTTCACAAGCATACATTTGTGAATTTATATTCAGTTATTTATTTCTTCATGCCTTTTAAACTTTTAAATATAGTTTTTATTTATTCTTAAATATTAGTAACTACTGTTTAGAATTGAATGGGTTAATTCCCCCCCCCTACTTATCCTGAATTTTTCCTCCTATTGGAAGTCTTGCTTTAGCTCCTGTTTTGTGTCTCAATAGTTTGGGGTTCAAAAAGTCCTTATGGGAACAATCTCCGTATTCTTTTGGTTAAAACCAGAAATGTAAGATATTTAGCTTTTTTAGCATTGCTTCTCAAGGAGTGTATTTGACTTTTGGTTCATTTTCTGCTTTGTAAAAACATAAAAAGAAAGAAAGCATTACTTACTGATTCTGATCAGCATTGACTTCTTTTGTGTGTGTTTTTAAAAAAATATATTTTATTGATTTTTTACAGAGAGGAAGGGAGAGGGATACAGAGTCAGAAACATCGATGAGAGAGAATCATCAATCAGCTGCCTCCCGCACACTTCCCACTGGGAATGTGCCCGCAACCAAGGTACATGCCCCTGACCGGAATCGAACCTGGGACCCTTGAGTCTGAAGGCCGACGCTCTATCCACTGAGCCAAACCGGTTAGGGCAGCATTGACTTCTTATGGATTAAGTACCGTAAGGGTATCCCATGAAAACTAATTTGTTTATTCTTTTTAGACTTTCAAAAATTGACATATACATTGTATATGTTTAAGGTTGTACAATGTGTTGGTTGGTACGTTTATACTATATTGCAATATGGTAAGATCACTTAAGGTCTATCTCTTACAACTTTGAAGTATATAATATAGTATTTTTTACTATAGTCACAATGGTGTGCATTGGATCTCTAGAATTTATTCATCTTCTACCTGCATGTGTGTATCCTTTGACCAACATACCCCAATTCCCCCACAATCCCAGTCCCTGGAAACCACCATTCTACTGTTTCTATGAGACCATCTTATTAGATTCCACATAAGTGGTATTAAAACTAGTTTTTAAAGTCCTTTCGTGATAGTTTACCATTAAGTACTTTCATGATATTCTGTGTTTTTTTTTTTTTTCATAAACTGTTTGTTGTTTTACATAGTATGTTAAAAATCCATTACTTGACACTAGATGATAACTCTCATAAATGTCATAGTCTGGTCTCTAATGTAGAGTGTCCTCTTTTAAAGTCCCAATTCCTTTTCACAGAAAATAGCATTTTAAAATAGGACTTTGGATCAGAGAGATATGTTTCTTTCTCTGTTTCTTTTATTCTTGTTCTTTTTAGAATAGTGTCTAAAATATTATTTCTTCATTGAAATGAAAATATAAAAAGATGAAATTCAATCAAGCCAAACCTAATGAAAAAGTAAATTTATTAGAATAATTTCAAGCCTTGCAAAAATGGAAAAGGAATATTTGTTTAACATCTTGTGTGCTCACCCACCCTTTGGTTTTTGTAGATATTCAGGATGTGGCTGTCTTCAAGAATGAGCTGTTCTGTTTGCATCTAAATGGGAAAATCTCACATCTTTCCCTCTTATCTGTGGAACGCTGTGTGGAACGCCTGCTAAGGAGAAGCCTTTGGAACCTGGCTGCTCACACTTGCTGTCTGTTCCAGAATTCTCTCATTGCTGGCAGAGTGAGTCAGAGAGCTTACATGTTCTTCTGGGCTGTTACAATCATCCTAGCGTGCAAGATTGTGCTACAAAGTTTTTTGGCTTAACTAGCCCTTTCTATTTGACCTATAGATAAAGCAGCAGTAAATTCTCAAAGGAAGCATGACAAATAAATCTAGGGGCGGGTGGAGAGTAAAAAAAAGGGTATACTTGCCATTAAAAAAAAAATCAAGCCGAGACCGGTTTGGCTCAGTGGATAGAGCGTCGGCCTGCGGACTGAAAGGTCCCAGGTTCGATTCCGGTCAAGGGCATGTACCTGGGTTGCGGGCATATCCCCAGTGGAGGATGTGCAGGAGGCAGCTGGTCGATGTTTCTCTCTCATCGATGTTTCTGACTCTCTATCTCTCTCCCTTCCTCTCTGTAAAAAATCAATAAAATATATTAAAAAAAAAAAAAAAATCAAGTTTACTCACAAATTTATTTGAATTTCAGACTTTTTTTTAAGGGGGATGATTGTGCATACGGTAAATCCTAATTAAAGTCTTAATTCCTAAGGTAATTCTCATTAATTCTTTCATTTGCTTGTTAAGCCTTTTTAAAGCACTTCGGAGGTTTATCTTATGTTAGACCTCTTTAAATATATGGGCCATTTGAATATAGATTTAGTTACATGTAGTAGGCTATTCTATTAGGTTTCTACTTACCCTTTTATTAGGGAAGAAAATCATTGACTGTAGATAAATTGGAGCACTTGAAATCTCAGCTGGATCTCACAACCTGTAGTGATTTGATTTCTCAACTAGAAGAATTGATCTTAAAATTTGAACCTTTGGATTCAGCTTGCAGCAGTAGAAGAAGCTCCATTTCATCACATGTAAGTATTCTCACTTTTAAAGGGTTTTTCTGTACAGTAAGATTTTCTACTTTAGGTTGTACTCACCTCTAGAATCCCAAAACTTGTCTTTCTTTCCATATAGTAGATTTTTGGAGGGGGGTCAAAGGGAGCTTTATGTTAGCTGCTGGATAGCCCTATGAAGCCTTCGTTTAGGTTTGTCTTGGAGCCACATTTTGTTTTGTCATTTTTTTTAAAAAAATATATTTTATTGATTTTTTTACAGAGAGGAAGGGAGAGAGATAGAGAATTAGAAACATCGATGAGAGAGAAACATCGATCAGCTGCCTCCTGCACATCTCCCACTGGGGATGTGCTCGCAACCCAGGTATATGCCCTTGACCGGAATCGAACCTGGGACCTTTCAGTCCGCAGGCCGACGCTCTATCCACTGAGCCAAACCGGTTTCGGCTGTTTTGTCATTTTTAATTATATTCTTTTTGCAAATGCACCTCAGAGCCTCCAACACAGTTAAGTTGTTCTGTTCCTAATATGCGATTATTTTAGATTCTTCATGCTAATTGGAGTCTCAGTGCAGCTCAGATTTGCCTCATTCAGTCCCCATTCTCACTGCCACGCTTTATGGAGACAAGCTAGAAAAATATGGTAGCATGATTCCACTTAGCTGTAACCCAGCTGCCAGGAGCCTAGACCTTGCTCACCAGTTTGTACTAATAAGCCATAAATGTTATTATTGACTTGCTGCTTTTACCATTGATTTTTCTCTTAAAAAGCTACGTTGTGTTATAAAGGAAAGTTTTACTTTGATTTTTTGGAATTCTTTTTCATTTTTAGGAAAGTTTCAGCATCTTGGACTCTGGTATTTATCGTATTATTAGTAGTAGAAGAGGCAGTCAGTCAGATGAAGACACTTGTTCCCTTCACAGCCAAACCCTCTCAGAAGATGAGAGACTTAAAGAATTCATCTCACATCAAGAAGAGGACCAGCCAGATCAGTGTTGCAGCTCACACGGAAATGAGGGTGATGAGTGTGTCTTTTTATATATATGTATTTTTTAAATATTTTTACTGACTTTTTAGAGAGAGAGGAAGGGAGAGGGAGAGAGAGAAACATTGATGTGTGAGGGGAACATTGATCGGCTGCCTCCTGCCTGCCCCCTCCCAAGGAATGAACTTGCAACCTGGGCAAGTACCCTGACCGGAAATTGAACCAGCAACCTTTTGTGCACTGGACAACACTCAGCCAACTGACCCACACTGGCCAGGGTCTGAGTTTGTCTTTTATTGGTTGCAGATGTGAAGCACTAATTTTCTGTCACTTTTATTTGCCTGGATTATCTCGTGCATAGAGTTTCCTATAAGGTGTTAATTTTTATTATGTTGACAGACTTTCCATCTAGACCTGTAGATCTACTCACGAGTAGAAGAGTGGATTTGTGTGTAGTTGTTCCCTCCCCCTCATGTTTAGGATAACATTGATAAAGTACCTAATTTTAATCATGCATCAAAATGCTGGAAAGGTTAAGAAAGGACGTCATTAACCAAAGGAACAGGGCAATTTTATTCTGACTAACCAAATTATTTTCCATTAGGACTGAAAAATTACTACAATTTTGGGGCCATTGCCTACACTTTTTGATGTTTGAGCATTCCTGTGACCGAAGTGTTGAGAAGAGATTAATAGAAACTTTAACTTCCTTTTTGACTTGTGGGGATTCAGGGTTAGTAGGAAAATGAAGGTACCTGCTTGAGTGTTTTATATGTGGACCATCCCATGCATCTTGTAAACCTGTGTTCTGCTCATTTGTATCTGGGTCAGTTGTGTTTTTGGTATTGAATCTTTCATTTCCTTTGGTTTATTTATTTCAGAATTTCTTTAAAGGTTAAAAAACTCCCATATGATTAGATTTTGTTTCTTTCCCTTGATTTAATTCATCAGACAGTGTTTCTCATGTTCCAGTGACGTTTGAGACAGATAAGAATGAAACTTTTCTCCCCTTCGGCATTCCATTATCATTTCGTTCTCCATCTCCTCTTGTGTCTCTTCAGGCTGTCAAGGAAAGGTAAACTAATTAGTCTTGTCATTTAATCCCATTCTGGTTTTACTTTCTTTGTCCCCTTAGGTACTTTTGTGCTGAGAATGGAGAGCCATTTTATTTTATTTACTAGAGGCCCAGTGCATGAAATTTGTGCATGGGTAGGGTCCCTAGGCCTGGCCGGCAATCAGGGCCAATCTGTGGGGCGACCGGCGGGGTGATCAGGGGCCCCCACTGGCACCTGCCTTGGCTGGTCTGGGGCCTGTGGGCTGGGGGCAGCTCCAGCATTGAGCGTCTGCCCGCTGGTGGTCAGTGTGTGCCATAGTGACCAGTTCCACTGGTTGTTGCACTGTTTGGTCGATTTGCATATTAGACTTTTATTATATAGGATTTTAAAAAATGCTTTTAATGATTTTACAGAGAGAGGAAGGTGAGAGGGCGAAAGAGAGAAAAACATGGATTAATTGCCTCCCTGGGACTGAACCTGCAACCTGGGCATGTGCCCTGACTGGGAATTGAACTGGGGACCTTTCAGTGCATGGGACAATGTTAAACCAACTGAGCCACACCAGTCAGGACTGGAAAGACATTTTAAATGAGAAAAAGTAAAGTCTCTAGGTTATTTCTCATATCACCTGTTATATGGAGCTGTTAACTTCTCATTTCCATCTTGGGGAATTTAGCTTCCCTCTTTGAGTAGCTGGATATTTGAGTTGTTATAGATGTGGTTTTTTAACCCACAGACAGCAAAAGTTTAAAAATCTGGTATTTTTCTCATCCCTCAAAGAAACAGTTTATATATATCATTAGTCATTGCCTTTTCCTTTTTCTTTTTTAAAAAGATTTATTGATTTATAGAGAGAGAGAGAGAAAAAAAAACCCCACGTTGATTTGTTGTTGCACTTATTTATGCATTCATTCATTGAATCTTATATGTGCCATGATTGGGGTTTGAAACCTTAACCATGGTGGATGGGGGGCGGGTGCTCTTACCAACTGAGCTACCTGGCCAGGGCTATCATTAGTCAATTTTTGATCCTTTCTCAGTTTGTGCTCAGAATTGGAGACTTCAGAAGTCTTTCTAGCTAATACATGGGACCAAGATTGGCATTTGAGTTTGAGAGAGAAGACTTTGTACAACTACTTAACTGTTTATCTGTCTTACTGGATACAAATTTTGCTTATCAAGAGGAATATGTTGTGACTAGTTGGCAGCTGAGTTTCATGAAGAAATTTATTAATTTTCTGGCTAGGGTGGCGCAGGTGGCCATATGGCTTTCTTTGCTTAAATTGACAGAAACATCACAGACTGGAGTTGAAGACCTTTTCTTTTTTTTTTTTTTTTTTTTTTAAAAAGACCTTTTCTTTAGCACTTAAGGCAGTTTAGTAAATGAAGTGAATTCTTATATTGTAAATTTTACGTGGACCTTATGTGAAATATATGGTTGATTAGGGAAGTTGCTGTAAGCAGTCAAGCGGTCTTTCTTTTATTAAGTCCAAGTTGCCTTTCTGGGACTAATAGAAACATAGACAACTAGGTACTGAATTTTTCATTTTTGTTAATAATTAGATTTCTTTTCATGTTAGTTTTTTGGTATTTGACTTCCAGTGTTTCTAGCTTTGTACGTAAAACTACTGAGAAGATTGGCACCCTTCATACAAGCCCTGATCAGAAAGTGAGACCAGAACCCAGAGGTGATGAACAGTTATGTGAAGAAGATGTGAGTCCTGTCACTTGCTCAAAGGAGGAAGACACAGAGTAAGCTCTTGCATATAAATCTGTGTAAATTCTGGAGGGGTCATCTATCAGTGTGAAGAAAACCATAGGCTATGGAAGGTATATATATGACCCTGCTCATTGTTGATTGCTAAGGTAGCTCATAAAAATGGTGAATACCACAACCCTGGCTGGTTTGGCTCAGTGGATAGAGCATCGACCTGCAGACTGAAGGGTCCTGGGTTTGATCCCAGTCAAGGGCACATGCTCGGGTTGTGGGCTCGATTCCCAATAGGGGGCATGCAGGAGGCAGCCGATCAGTGATTCTCTCTTATCATTGATGTTTCTGTCTCTCTCTGAAATCCATAAACATATATTTTTTAAAAATTGTGAATACCTCAAATTAAATGTTGGAAAATGGCATCTACCCATAGCAAATCTGTTAAGACGGTTTTAATTTAGCACAGTTGTATCTATCTCCTTCACAATTTCCTCCTTTCCAAATCTCTTCCAAGTTTTGGGATGTTAGAGAAGGAGTATTAAATTAAGAGTAAGATGACCAAGGATCTAGGCCTTGTCCTGGCTCTGCTTCTGACTAATATGTAACTTTGGGTAGGTCAGTAATATTCTCTAGCCTATAAAGTGAGAGCATTGGTATTGATGTCTTGCCTTATACTTTCTTATGATATGCTGGTGGCATAGTCCTTGTTCTGGCACAGTGTGAAGTGCCTTGTCTATCTGGTCTCTGCCTTATTTCATGGTTCAGAGAATGCTCAGCACTCATTCAGGAATTGAGAGAGAGACCCATAGGCCCAGTGTGTCTGGACAGTGAGATGAAATAGAAGGCGTGTTATTCTCAGAATAACTTAGTGAATCTACATATACTTATAGAAGAAATGTACAGATATGCCTAGGCATTTTAGGCAGCCCTCAGCCTGACCTTAGCTCACCTTTCCAGCCTCATTTTTAAATTTCAGTCCTGTGGGAGAACTAGGTATGTATACTTCACTGTCTTTCTTTGTGTCGTTTTCTTCTACTTGCAGTATTTCTCCCCATATTTTCTGACACAAATACCACTTCCTTAGGAAAGTTTCCATTGTTTGCCTAGTCAGAAGAATTACTCCTTTTTTTGTGTGCTTTCATAGCACAATGTATGTGCTGCTCTCTAGCATTCATTTTATTCTCTTTTAGATTATAGTTATTTGCATGCATTTCTTTTTGACTTGAGCCATTGACCATTTTGTATACTCATCTGTTTATTTCATTTAACATTAAGTACAATACCTGCCACTTATAAGCACTTAGAAATATTTGTCTAAGGAAGCTATAATCCCATCTAACTCTTTTCACTCTCTTCTAGGGGAATAAAAGAAGTAACTAGTCAACCTCCAGAAGAAGATAAATTCCAAGAGCTCAAAATAGCAACGGCAGAAGCAATGTGAGTATTTATGAAGGAGGAAGTTTTATAGTGAATGGGAATGACTTTTTGGGATCATCACTAGTGGTCCCGAGACAATGTGGGGCAGAGGTAGTCTCATTTGGAATTGAAATTTGAGAATTAGTATACAGTTAATGTTCTCTGTATTGTTATGTTGCCTAGGTAGTTGTTAAAGAGTAGAAAAGTAACACTTGTATTCCAGATTAGTATGCTGTATTCATTAGGTTTATTTAGCAAGAAATAATTTGTTTAAAAAAACACACATAAAACAAATTTCATATTTGTTTGTCTTGTATAGGACCAAGCTACAGGACCCACTGGTTTTATTTGAACCTGAATCTCTGAGAATGGTTTTACAGGAGTGGCTTTCACAGTTAGAAAAAACATTTGCCATAAAGGACTTTTCAGGCATTTCAGGTACCTGCAACTCATCCACAACATCGAATGAGGATGTACTATTGTTTGATGAGTCAAAAAATGGAATATTGGTTGAAGATAATGAAAAAGAAAAAAGGGACTCTTTAGGCAATGAAGAAACTGTTGATCACAAGGCATGTGAATCTGTAAATAGTCTGAGGGAGCCCTTGGATGACCTCTTTCGAGTATGTTCTCCATGGAGCATAGCAAACGGTCTCTGGAAGGACCTGGCTGAATTGACAACATTGTGTTTAGAATTGAATGTACTGAATTCTGAGATCAAAAGCACAAGTGAACATGAGGACCACACTTTGCAAGAGCACTCTTCTGAAATTCTGGCTTGTCAGTTCCTAAAGAAGTACTTTTTTCTCCTGGACTTGAAGAGAGCAAAGGAGAGTATCAAGCTTACTTATGCAAACAATCATTGTGTTTGGGATACTTTTATCGAAGGATTGAAAGGTAATAGTCAGATTGCCTTACTAAAGGTAGAAATTGATATAGAGCACCTTGGCATTTTTGAGTTGAAAATATAAGAATTAAGTAGAAAATTACCTCTGTTCTGGTTAACCTCGATTCTTTTTTACACTCAACTTAATTTTTAATAGTTCTTCAAATATTGCTTTAATTTGCATCCGTATCATAAGAAATTAGTTTTCTTTCTTTCAACCATATTTAGAAAGTGACAGCAGTGTTAGAGAAGTTGGGGTTAAAGTAAGATTTTTATAATTATAGATATATAAAAATGAAAAAATCCCTCTGAGTAACTTACTAATATTTAGTAATATTAGTAATGTTTACCATTTATTGAGTACTATTGTGTGCCACTATTTTTGCTAAACACTTTCCAGGCATTGTTTCGTTTTGTCCTTATAACAGTCTTCAGAGGAGATGGTGAGGAAACAGGCACAGGGAGATTATAATCATTAAGTAGGTTACACTGCTGTACTATCTCATGAAATATTAACTCAGATATTGCAGAAGTTTATTTCTTATATACTAGTTCAAGGCAGATGTTTCAGGTCAGTAGGCAGCTCTCTTCCATATGGTAATCGAGAGTTCCAAATTCCTTTCATTTTTTTTGAGTTCCATCCTCTCTTGGGTTTGTGATTGAGATTGGGTTGTTACGTGCTAGAGAAAGCACATGGAGGGTCAAACATGCTCTTACTTATAGGCTTGGCCTGGTGGTCGCTTACATCTCTTCTGTTCACTTTTCATTGGTAAGAATTCTATCACATGACCCTATTTAACTGCAAAGGAGACTGGGAAATGTAACCTATCCAGGTGTCCAGAAGGAAGAGAATGTATGTGGCCGAAAAGCTTGTATGTCTGCCTTGGAGATTTGGTTGACAGCCAGCAGTCTTTCTTTTACACTTGATTGAAGGTCACACTATTTGTCATCCTCATGTAGAAACCAGCTCTCATACTCCAGAGACCATGCATGCGCTTTCTACTGCATAGGCCCATGTTTTTGAAGAGGTGAATTTTTTAAATTCAACATTCTGCTTGAATCAAAGATGCCGTCTGTCTTATACTTGGTTTATTTATTTATTTATTTTTAATTAAATCTTTATTGTTCAGATTATTACATTTGTTCCTCTTTTTTTTCCCCCCATAACTCCCCTCCTCCCAGTTCCCACCCCACCCTCCGCCCTCACTCCCACCCACTGTCCTCATCCATAGGTGCACGATTTTTGTCCAGTCTCTTCCCGCATCTCCCACACCCCTTTCCCCCCCAGGAATAGTCAGTCCATTCCCTTTCTATGTCCCTGATTCTATTATAATCACCAGTTCATTCTGTTCATCAGATTATTTATTCACTTGATTCTTAGATTCACTTGTTGATAGATGCATATTTGTTGTTCATAATTTGTATCTTTACCTTTTTCTTCTTCTTCCTCTTCTTAAAGGATACCTTTCAGCATTTCATATAATCCTGGTTTGGTGGTGATGAACTCCTTTAGCTTTTCCTTATCTGTGAAGCTCTTTATCTGACCTTCAATTCTGAATGATAGCTTTGCTGGATAAAGTAGTCTTGGTTGTAGGTTCTTGGTATTCATCACTTTGAATATTTCTTGCCACTCCCTTCTGGCCTGCAAAGTTTCTGTTGAGAAATCAGCTGACAGTCGTATGGGTATTCCCTTGTAGGTAACTGAGTTTCTTTCTCTTGCTGTTTTTAAGATTCTCTCTTTATCTTTTGCTCTTGGCATTTTCATTATGATGTGTCTTGGTGTGGTCCTCTTTGGATTCCTTTTGTTTGGGGTTCTCCGCGCTTCTTGGACCTGTAAGTCCATTTCTTTCACCAGGTGGGGGAAGTTTTCTGTCATTATTTCTTCAAATAGGTTTTCAATATCTTGCTCTCTCTCATCTTCTGGCACCCCTATAATTCTGATGTTGGTACGCTTGAAGCTGTCCCAGAGGCTCCTTACACTATCCTCGCATTTTTGGATTCTTTTTTCATTTTGCTTTTCCGGTTGGGTGTTTTTTGCTTCCTCGCACTTCAAATCATTGACTTGATTCTTGCGCTCCTCTGGTCTGCTGTCGGGAGTCTGTATAATATTCGTTATTTCAGTCCGTGTATGCTTAATTTCTAGTTGGTTCCCCAATATAAGATCGAGGGTCTTATTAGTTTTCTTGTAGATCTCATTAAGTTTATCAGCGGCTTCTAAACAGTTCTTGAGAGACCTTAAAAGTGTGGTTCTGAACTCTATATCTTCCATTGACAATTTTGTCCTGTTTCTTTGTCTCCGCATTTTGTTATGCTTCCTTGGTGCACCCCCTAGTGGTCTTTGTTCGCAGTCTTATAGTTAAATCTTGATTGTTGTAGCTAATTCCAGGGAGGGTTTGACCTCCAGGCCAAGTGGCTATGAGAATCAGCTGTGTCAGCAGTGAGAGAACTTCTGTCCTCTAGGGAGGTGCTAATCTAGCCTTTGCCTGAGGCTATCCGGCAAATGCCTGTGTGCAGGGCTTGGGCGGGGCGGGTTGCACAGGATCAACAGGGTGGGCCGGAGAGAGCAGTTATGGCGGCTCTCAGTCCTGTCCCCAGGGGCTCTGCCTCTCTGAGTCCCAGCACCCGCTGCAAAGCTCAGAGAGAAAGCTGCTCTCGCTCTGACCAAAGCCAGACAGTGCCGCTTCTCCCGTTTGAGTCTGGGTCCCTAAAGACTCGCCCGGATCTGGAGCTCAGATTCTGCGACTCCCTCCCGATTGAAAACGCCAACCGCGCCCTCCGCCGCCAGCCCGCTCCGCGCACTCCGCACCTCAGAATTTGACTTCAGCACTGTGCCTCCTCTGAGTGTCCGTATGCGTTTCTCTTTCCTCCTAGTTGTAGGACTTCCACTCAGCCAGCGTTCCTGTGGTTCTGGGTGATGTCCCTTCCGTTTTTTGGTTTCACTTTTGAAGTAGTTGTTCAAAGCAGCAAACTCCGGCGTTAACCTATGCCGCCATCTTGGTTCTCTTTATACTTGGTTTAGACTTTAAACACACTTTTCATTTATTAGTCACAAGACAAAATACATTTTTATATTATTGACTTAAAGATCTTTTTGTTTTCTAGAAAATGGATTTATAATATCTGCTTCAATTGATATTTAGCTGTTAAAAGTATAAGAAATGATTTCAATTTCTTTTTCTGTGTTGAGGCAGACTTTTATTTGCTATGTATGTTTCTATTATGTAATCATATCCAACCCTGGTCACAGGAAAATAACAGAAAAGAATCTCTTCAGCCTGATTGGTTGTTAACTTATTACCAGAGCTTCCTAGAGCAAGCCTGGTAGTTAGTTTGAGATTATACACTGCTTGCTTGAATTTAGGGTTATGTTTGGCTTAGCTTCCACCCAATCTAAAGCTTACCCTTACTTCCCAAGCTTTAAATGATGGCCTCCTCCCTGAATTACCTTAAGTACTTATTGCCTGATACAGTCAAATAGGAAATAATAAAACTGAGAAGAAATGATTTTTTAAAAAATCAGAAATTGAATGTTGGTGTTTTAGAAATGGGTTGTTGAACAGGCTTCACCCTTGCAATGATGTTGTAATTATTGAAAACAGCCTTCTAACTACAAGTGGTTTTTAATTAGATCATAATTCACTTCATTTACCATACATGGCTTTAAATAAATTGGCTATTCTCAAAAGTCAAGTCTTTGTTCAGAGAAAGAAGTTTTTCTATACATGTTTAAGAAAAAAATAGGTCAGTCCAGCCAGTGTGGCTCTCAGCAATTGAGCATCAACCCAGGAACCAAGAGGTCATTGATTCGATTCTCAGGCAGGGCACATGCCCGAGTTTCAGGTTCCATCCCCAGTAGGGGGCATACAGGAGGCAGCCAATGATGATGTTTCTCTCTGTCCCTCTCCCTTTTCTCTAAAAATCAATAAAAACATATTTAAAAAATAGGTCAACATTTTAAAATTAATTTAATTAAATTGGAATAACTTATTTTGTTTCAAAAGATGGCAGAGGGGCACTGTTTCTAGAAAAACAGGAATTTGGCATTGATAGTATACATATATACTGTATATCTCTTTTTCAAGGGTAATAGAGACATATATTGGTGATCTCTTACTTTTTCTTGTTTAAAACTTGTAATATGCTTGGCCTCCCAATTTGGTTTTAAGGTTCTTAAAAGCAGAGTTCGTATCTTGTTCTTGTTTGTCTCTCCTGCAGTGCTTAATGAGCATAGGGCCTTGCACAGGGTAGGTGCATGAATCATGGTTGTTGAACCAATGTGTTCATGAATTAAATATTTACAGTTATGAGATGAAGGGAACAAGGTATGTTTTATCTTTCAGAAATGGCAAGTTCCAATCCTACATATATGGAGATGGAAGAAGGCGATCTACCAACAAAATTAAAATTAGTGGATGACTCGGTCCCTTTTGACAGTCCTTTGTTGATTGCTTATGCTACCCAGTAAGTTGTTGTGTATGTTGTTTATATGAACTAAATCACATGCATATTTTTTTTTTTTGGTCTTAATCTGTAAAGTTTTATTCAGTTGCATGTTGGTCAGCTTCTTGTTAGTATATTTATTTCTAATAAGTACTTAGATAATGTAACCAAGCTATATCATCTCACTGGAGTTGGAGACTAATATGTTTTGTTTTTAAATGCAGATTGTATGAGAAGTTTGGGGAATCTGCCCTTCGATCCTTGATCAAGTTTTACCCATCAATTTTGCCTTCGGATGTCATGCAACTTTGTCATCATCATCCTGCTCAGTTTTTGGCCTATTTAGACAGTCTAGTGAAATCAAGGCCTGAAGATCACCGGTAAGAAGGCGAGAATTACTAGTATTTGTAGACTTTTCTTTCTTCAGATAGGGTATTATCTCTCTTGTATAGCAGTTGTAGCATTTTTACTGTCAGCTGCCATAGAATTGAGGCATCTACAATGGAAGAGAAGGACTTGGGCAGTTGAAATTAGACTGAGGTTTCATTTTCTATCTCCACACAGCCCCTATTATTGAGACTGGCTATTCTTCCCACCCTGCACCACCACCCTTCTTCTTCCTTCGATTGATTCATATTTGCCATACTGACTTTTATTTCTCTTTTTATTTTTGGCTGTTTGGTATTTTCCTTATTATCTTGGGGCTCACCTGTTCATTTAAAAGGCTATTAGACTTTCACCAGCTTTTCTAGAAATTTTGTAGCAGAAGTTATTTTCAAGTTATTTTATTCACTATATGATTCCTCAGCAATGTTTTCACATCCCCACAATTTATGTTTCCTTTCTCAGCATGAAAAGTGGTGACTTTTCTCCCCTATTTTCTGTCTCTTAGGCAGTCCTTCCTTGAGTCCCTTCTACAACCAGAGTCTTTAAGATTGGATTGGCTGCTGTTAGCAGTGTCCCATGATGCTCCCCCAAGCACAAGCACTATGGATGATGAAGGAAATCCCAGGTATAGAAATCCTCTTTTTAAGCTCTGATGTTCCTTTGGGATGGAGCTGGTTTATTCACATATAGCATTCTGGGCTTACTTCAGGAACAGCTCTGGAAGAGACTGAGCCAAGTTATGGTAGTAACGAGATTGAGTGCACTTCCTAGTGGTTCTGAATATTTTTTAGTTATAGATCCTATTAAGAACCTGATTTCTCCTAGAAAAATGCATATCCATGCAAAATTTTGCACAGAAAACAAAACTGACCCTTTTAAGCTCTTTCATGGACCCATATTTAGAGCTCTTGATAACCAAACCTGTGTTAGAAGTGTTACATGCACCTCTCATAGACACCAGAGAGGTGTTATCGGAAAGCCCACTGAAGGAAGAGGGCTGTCCCCACCTCGATTCTTGTCTTGCTCATAAGAATGAATTCTAACGAGTGACTCCCAGATAATTGTGTTGTGTTAAAGTGAATTTATTAAGAAAGTAATATAAAAAGTAAGGCATGCAAATTTATTAAAGGAACAAGGCAAGCAAATATATCATTCTGCATAACGCAGGGATGGGCCCTCTTGGCTAATCCCAGGAGTTAGTGGGGTGGGGATTGAGGGCGGGGGGAGGGTTTGCCTTATATACTTTTTTGTCTATAGATTTTAAAACTCCTCTGCCAAATATCTTGGCTAATTTTTAAGGTCCCCTTTTTACTTTGTTTTGGCTTGCCCAGAATTTGTGAGAAGCACCTGGCAATTTTATCTTGCCAAGCCCCGAGACTGCTGGCTTTTCTGTTTAGGGAATGGGATGAGATAAGACTGCATTCTTCCTTCTTCTTTCTCCTTCCGCATTTCTCTATGCTGTCTTTGGAGACACATTAACCATTTGCTCTCAAATGTCCTTAGCTGGGGAAGATAAGGGCTTGTTATTTACAAGCTAGCTGCAGGCTGTGCAAACTGCTTGGCCTTATTTTAATTTTCTTGTCTCAGTTTCCCTGTTCCTCCTGCCCTGGAATTTTTGTAGTTTTTTGCTATCCTGTAACAGAAGGGAAAAAATTGTGCATATGTGCTTGTGTGTATTTTCTCCCCAGAAATTTCTAGACATACCTGATTTAGGATTTAAAAAAATAGAATTCATAAAAAATACACACTGATACTTATAATGTGTCACAAATGATTCTTGTATTTTCCTGCAGAGAAACTTTTTTTTTTTTTTTTTTAAAATATATTTTATTGATTTTTTACAGAGAGGAAGGGAGAGAGATAGAGAGTTAGAAACATCGATGAGAGAGAAACATCAATCAGCTGCCTCCTGCACATCCCCCACTGGGGATATGCCCGCAACCCAGGTACATGCCCTTGACCGGAATCGAACCCGGGACCCTTCAGTCCGCAGGCCGACACTCTATCCACTGAGCCAAACCGGTTTCGGCTCCTGCAGAGAAGCTTTAAAAGCCCCCAAAGACCTATCCTATATGCCTAAACTAAAGGTCTGGAAGGATATACAGTGGCTATCTGACTGGATGAAAGTATAGGCTTCTTTCTTTTGTTTTTGATTACCTAAAAATGTCTAATTTTAAATAATATGTAGGTATTTGTGATAGGAAAAATGTTTTTAATTTTTCAAAATCCAAGTAAAAATGTTTGAAAAATATAATAATGGAACAAATATAATTAAATTCTGCTCTTACCTATTAGATGACTAATAAGCATTTTGTAGAATTTATTTCCTATCTAATTTAGGGAGTTTTTCATTTCACAGGCCTCATTCACACTTGTTTTCCTGGGGTTACAGTCAGCTGATCCTTCATCTAATTAAACTACCTGCAGATTTTACAACCAAAGAGAAAATGACTGACATCTGCAGGTCTCGTGGGTAAGAGAATTTTCTTAGAAGCTGAAGTTAAGATTAGAATCATTTCAGTTAATAACTTTGTAGTAGTTAAGGGCCTGAATCGATATACTTTATCGTTTGCGAATACTCTTTGCTACAGGAAAGTATCTTAAGTAATAGTTAAGTACACAAACTTTTCCTTTCAATTTTGTGCACATTTTTTCATATTTGTGCGTATTTGTGGGTGGGGCCACAACATTAGTAACAGAGAAACAGAATTTCCAGAGGATGAGGCCCAGAAATCAGGATTTTAAAAAGATTCCCAGGTGATTTTAATGTGCAGCCAAGGTTGAGAACCACTGGCTTAGTTGCTAACCCCAGGCATATAGATGGTATTTAATTAAGCTCTAGACTGTGATTTGAATTATAATTGCTATAGGGTTGTCCAAATTGGGAGGGATCAGAATGTTCTCAGGAGAATTGCTAGTGAAGGACTCAGGGAGGAGTTGAAACTTTGGAGGTAAGCCCTGAAGGCTGGATAGGATTTGTATTTAAAAGGAGCCAGGAGGAGGGCTGGTGAGGCTTACGAAACAAGAATAAGGGCAGGAAAACCTGACATTACTTTTTATTCATACCACATATTAGTCAGTTACTTATTGGCTAGCCATGTTATCATATGGCTCCCCCTGGATTATAATCTTTTGAAGATAGGGACCTGTTTCTTCCTTTTCCCTTATAATGGCAGGTACTTGATACATGTGTATTTATTGATAATGAAGGATGAAACTTGCCAGGTGGTGGGTGATGATATCATGGAGGACCTTGAAAGTTGGTCAGAAGAATTTAGTCATCAGTAGAGACCTTTTAGACTTTTGCGTATGACATAAAAATGGAACTTTCTGGAAATCATTTTTGGTGTCATACATGAGAAAGGTTGGAGACAGAAAGGTCAGCTTAAAAGCTATGGCAGTAATTCATTCTTAACTGAATTGGTGATTAGTAAGGCAGCAAAAGGACCACATCCAAGGGACATTTAGAAGGAAAATGCAGTGGGATTTATAATACTGGATATAGCAAATGAAGGGGGAGATGAATCAAGGAGAACTTTCACATTTGGAGAAAATATGCTAATTTGTTTTGAATCTTTGCATTTATAAAGTATGTATATATATATAAAGTAATAATTGGTGCTTGGCCTTGAATGTCAGTATTTACCACTAGCTTTTATTCTTTTTTCTTATATACTCCAGATCAGGGCTGTCAAAACTTTATGGTAATGGAAATATTCTGCACTGTCCAATATGATAGCCATTAGCTACATGTGACCATTGAGTACTTGAAATATGGATTGGTCAGCTGAAGAACTGACTTTTAAATTTTATTTACTTTTACTTAATTTAAATTTAAATAGCCACATGCACCTAGTATCTTTTATAATGGACTGTGCAGCTCCAGATAAATTCACTGCCTTTTATTCCTTTCTTCAACTTTGGTTTCTTTAAAGTTTCTGGCCTGGATATCTTACTCTCTGTTTGGAGCTGGAGAGAAGAAGAGAGGCCTTCACCAACATAGTATATTTGAATGATATGAGCCTGATGGATGGGGACAGTGGTATGTAAATCCAATTTGTTTACTCTTGGTTGTATTTTAGAAGTCACTTCAGACCTTCAATAAAGAAATTTGGTGGACATTTCAGTGATCATGTATATAATTCTAGCTAGCTGTCAAATTTGTAGTTTGTTTTTTAAAATTCTGTATCACTTGGTAATTATCTATACTAATAAAAGGGTAATATGCTAATTAGACCAGGTCGACCGGACATTTTCCGGATGTCCCACTTTCTTCCGGACAAAGTCATGGTTGCAGGGGCCGAGGTGGAGGCGGTTAGGGGTGATCAGGCCGTCAGGGGAGCAAGCAGTTAGGGGTGCTCCGGCCGGCGGGGGAGCAAGCAGTTAGGCATGAGATCAGGCTGGCGAGGGGGAACAAGCAGTTAGGGGGGCAATCAATCCAGCAGGGGAGAGCAGTTAGGGGGTGATCAGTCCAGCAGGGGAGAGCAGTTAGGGGGTGATCAGTCCAGCAGGGGAGAACAGTTAGGGGCGATCAGGCTGGCAGGGGAGGGCATTTGGGGGGCGATCAGGCCAGCAGGAGAGGGCAGTTGGGTGCAATCAGGCTGGCAGGGGAGTGGTTAGGGGGCGATCAGGTCGGCAGGCAGAGGTGGTTAGGGGCGATCAGGCAGGCAGGCAGGTGAGCAGTTAGGAGCCAGTGGTCCTGGATTGTGAGAGGGATGTCTGACTGCCGGTTTAGGGCTGGTCCCACAAGGGGTCCCAGATTGGAGAGGGTGCAGAGGCCGGGCTGAGGACCCTCCCCCCCCCCCAGCACGAATTTCGTGCTCCAGGCCTCTAGTAAATATATAAGGATAGTGCATTTATGTGTTTGTCTAAGATCTGTCTCCTTTGCTGTAAGTCCCAGAAGAGTTCTTCATTGCACATTCAGTGCCCAGCATAGAATATGCCCTGGGTAATTAATGAGTCAATGAAAGAATATTGAAGTTAATTTTGTGACTTTTCCTTGTCATGAACTATTTATTCAGCAGATGTTCAGAAAATATCTTTGTGTTAGGGTGATGAGATTATGTTCTCTAATATTTGTATGTTGCAACTAAATGTTTTCATAAACTGTTTTGACTCTCTCCTATGTGCAGGCAGAGTACAAAGAGCAGTCAGAGCCAACATTTCTATGTTTTTGTGTGTTTGTGTAGGTTGGATCCCAGAAACCATGGAGGAGTGGAAACTTCTCCTACATCTTGTTCAGAACAAAAACACAAAGCCAGACCCCCAGAATTCACCAAATGGGAGCTTCAGTGATGGGCCTTCCCCTGTTAACCTGGAGAATGTAGCACTGCTGTTAGCTAAGGCCATGGGTCCAGATCGGGCCTGGTCATTGCTACAGGAATGTGGTTTGACACTTGAGCTGTCAGAGAGATTTACCAGAACCTGCAATATCCTAAGGATTGCTGAGAAAAGACAGAGGTAATACCTGTCTGTCATGCCCTCTCCATAGGTGCTTCGGGAATGTGGAAACCCAAGATTTTCAGAGGGGGATGGGACTAGAGAGATCATCCAGTCCCAACCCCTAACAACAGATGAGGAGACTGAGACTCACCTGTTGATTAAGGTGATTAAGGGAAGAGGCTAAAGTAATACTTTGTTCACAATCATGACCAAGGCAGTTTGGATTAATGTGAATGAATATCACATTAATGTGTACTCAGTTCTTTAAGAATATTATTGGTATCAAATACCTAATTGTCTTAGGTTTTTTGTTTGTTTTTTTTAGTTGTGGTCAAGTACAGATAACATAAAATTAACCATCTTAACCATTTTTTAGTGTTTGGTTCAGTAATGTTATGTGTATCCATATCATTGTGCAGCTTAATTCCAGAGCTTTTTCATCTTGCAAAGCTCTCTACCCATTAAACAATAACTTCTCATTTTCCCCTCCACCCAGCCCCTGGCAACTGCCATTCTGCTTTCTGTCTCTGTGATTTTGACTATTCTAAGTATCTAATTTAAATGGAATTATGCAGTATTTGTCTTTTTGTAATCGGCTTATTTCACTTAATGTAATGTCCTCAAGGTCCATCTATATTGTAGCAAGTGTCAGAATTCCCTTCCTTTTCTAAGGCTAAATAATATTCTATAATATGTGCATACCACATTTTGTTTATGCACTCATTTGTCAATGGACACTTGGGTTGCTTCTACCTCTTGTCTATGTGAGTAATGCTGCTATAAACATGATTGTATAAAATGTCTCTCTGAGACTTTGCTTTCAGTTTTTTGGGGTATGCCCAGAAGTGGAATTGCTGGATCATATGGTAATTTAATTTTTTGAGGAACTGCTATAACTGTTTTCCATAGAGGCTCACCATTTTATATTCTTGTTCACAATGCACAAGGGCTCCAATTTCTCTACATTCTTCAATACTAGTTATTTTCTGTTTTTTTTTGTTTGTTTTTTTTGGGTGTGTTTTTAATAATAGTTGTCCTATTGTAGTATCTTATTGTGGTTCTTATTTGCATTTCTCTAATAATTAATGATGTTGAGCATCTTTTTAATGTGCTTGTTGCCATTTGTATGTCATCTTGGAAAAGTACCTATTCAAGTGTTTTGCTCATTTTCAGTTGCACTATTTGTTTTTTTGTTGTATGAGTTTGTATACATTTTGTATATTAATCTCTAAAGATATATGATTTGCAAATGTATTCTATTCTGTAGGACAGGATGCCTTTTCACTCTGTTGATTGTGTCTTTCGATGCTTAGAGTCAGACAGCTTTTGAATCCTCTATTTGTAGTTTTTAAAGTTTCTTTGTAAAGAATGAACAATGAGAACTAAATTTACTTGTTTCTTTTCTTTGTGATTTCAGAGCCTTGATACAAAGTATGCTTGAAAAATGTGATCGGTTTCTCTGGTCTCAGCAGGCCTAGTGGAAGAAGATTCAACAGGATGTCATAACATTTTAAGGAAAATGGAATCATGCTCCTGAATCTTCCGAATGTGTTTGTTATTGAAGGAAAGGCACCACTTGAAAACCCTGCTGCCTTATTGGGAGTACCTTGGCCAGTGTCTGTAACCTCTGTATTTATGGCTTATCTGTGACCTCAGTGATTCTCAACCAAAGTTGAATCTTGAAAGGAATTGGTCCTTGTTTGCTGATATGAAGAGTTCTGTAATCAGAATGTGAATGCTCACAGCTATGCAGTCCTTACTAGTATTCTGAACAACAGTGTTATTTATTTCTTGCTTGTGGATTGTAGGAGCAGAAGTTTCTCATTGTGATCACACGAAGACAGATCATTTAATTGACAGGAGTTGAAATTTTTTTATCCTTGTCTAGGGCAGTTGAGAAATTACTGAAATATGACCTGGTGTAATGGAATTAATACAAAAAAAAGTGAAACACTGAAGACTCAAATTAGATATGTAAGTGAAATGGCCCCATATTTAATTTGAACTAATTTAAAATACATTTTTTCTAGTATTTGACATTTTATAATCTGAATTTGACATTTTATACAACTGATTAATTCATTACTGATAATGTTTTAACTTGAATTTTTCCTAAACAGAGTAGTTCAAAGAAATCATGCACTTTTAGAAATCATTTTTTTAAAGTCACAATAAAGAAAGGCTAAAACTAATGAAGACTGAAGCAAGTGCTTGTATTATTTAAGCCAAATACTAGATTGCGATTTGTCAGACTTCTATAGATATAACATGTTATATTAATAATAAATGTAAAATCTGATTGAAGTTTTCATTTGAATAGAATATAGACATGAAGTTTATTGTGAGCAATTTGTAGGAAGGTATGGGTTAGACTCAGTGTGGAGTAAGCAAAGTGTTGGGTACTTGAACGATTCACTTTTTTTTTTTTTTTTTTCATTTATAACACAGCCAGAGATCTATAGACAAAATTACTGTCATACTTTCACATGACATTTAGGTATGATGTAACCTGATGGGTTAAAGAGATTGTCAGAGAAAAAGTTTACAAAGCTTCTTAGAATTTTGAGAAACCTCACGATTCTGGGCAACAGTGTGTGGTGGCAGTAAGGGTGTGGGATGGTAATGGTGGTGGGGTATGTGTGTGTGTGGTATTTCCCCATACTAAGTTCTCCACCAGCTTTGTGTCCTACAATTCAAATCAATTCTTACACTATCTACATGGAGATAGCATCAGATTCTGTTGGTTAAGGGATGTTAAATAAAAACCTTTGTAGCCAAGAGCTATTCTGAAAGAAAGGGCTTGTTGAGCCCTGTGCTAGTCGGAAAAAGGACCCAGTCCTGGGACATATAGTCGATATAGTCAATACCACCAGTAGCAGGGCAGGATGTAGAAGATGAATATTTATCCGCAGTCTTGGAGCTGATGGAGCTTTTTTTTTTTAATCCTCATCAGATGAGTGAAGATATATATTTTTTTAGAGAGAGTGGAAGGGAGGGGACTAGAGAGAGAAACATTGACCTGAGAGAGACACATCAATTGTTAGCCTCCCACTCTCACCCTGACCGGGGTAGGGATTGAACCTGCATCCGAGGTATGTGCCTTTGACTGGGAATGGAACCTGAGACTCTTTGGACCGAGGGCCAGCGCTCTAACCACTGAGCAACCGGGCCTAATGGAGCTTTCTAAAAATGGTTTGGGGAGGGAAGACGCAAGTTGTTTTGAAAGAATTTATATTGGCTGTAGAAAACAGAGTTGGGAAAAGGTGAAGTGGGGAAAGTTCTAGGTTAGGTGCATAGTCCTTAAGGAAGAATTGTTTACTACTTCTGGGTTGGTTGTGGACAAAAGTCCAGAAAGTTTGTGCCTGGGTAAGCAGGATGCAGTGGTGTCTGGAAATCTGCTATTATTTTTAGGTAGCTGCTAGGAAGTTGATTCAAAGTTTCAATATGCATTCAGGAATGTGAATAGTCTTTGGTTCGTCTCCAATTATAGCTGTTAACTGAAAGTTGTCTCTTTCTCCCCCTCTCTGGCCACCTGTAATTTAATTTAGGTATTTCAGAATTTTTCTCTAGTCAGAGCTCAGTTTCCCAAGACTGCCCTCCACTTCGGACCCAGTCCCAAGTCCAGGTTGTTTACTGTGCTTCTGACTGGCTACAAGTCAGAGGTTCCCACAATTCCCTCCTCGTGTTTGATTAATTTGCTACAGTGGCTCTCAGAGCTCAGAGAAACATTTACTTACTAGATCATCAGTTTATTGTGAGAGAATATAACTGAGTAACAGTCACATGGAGTTGTTGCATAGGACAAGGTGTAAGAAAAGGGCAAGGAGCTTCCGTGCCCTTTCTGAGCTCCTCGCTCCCTGAATCTCCTCCACATGTTAACCAAACCAGACGCTTTGGAACCCAGTCCTTTTGGGTTTTCATGAAGACTGAATTGCATAGGCGCAATTGATTAAATCATTGGCCATTGGCGATAGAAATTCCGTCTCTAGCCCCTCTCCCCTCCCTGAAGGTGAGGTGTGTGTGTGGGGTGAGGCTGAAAGTGGCTGGTCCCACTGGCAACCAGCCCCAATATTAGGTGCAGTCTAGAGTCACCTCATTAACACAAAAACGACCTCTCCCTCAACTCATCACTTGGAAAATTTCTAGGGTTTTAGGAGGTCAGTTTCAGAAACTGGAACCAAGACCAAATATATGCATATTTCTCCTTACAACTCACAATATCACACCCACAAGCATCAGCTGGATTTGGGCTGTATGGATTATATTGAATGTGAGTCTACTAAGGTAGAGAGTTAGAGATCGCCCTTCACTGTCAGCTTTTGTCATTACAATGTGACTGTCCAAAAGACAACCCAGAGGAAATCTCGGAAGAAGGAGACATATATGTGCAGTCATTTCCCAACATATATTTCTAGAGCATATTACAGCAATCCTCATTTACCAGAAGGGGACAGAGGGAAATTTCTAGCATTAAAAAAAAAAAAAAAAAAAAAAAAATCTCACATCATCAGAATTCATTTTCCAAGGCAAACTAAAAACAAAAAACCCCTTTAGTTGAATATTTAAATTTGAACAGTCAATCTGGATATTAGGCAATGTTTTCAAATGCAACTTGTATCTGTGACTTGCTAAAATTTCTAGGCAGGCTGTGATTCATGGTTGCCTCACTTTTACTTTTGTTTATACACTGGGCCGCAGTTTAGGAGGGCTGCAGGATAGCGTAGTGGTGAGAGTCTGCGTTCTGAGACTCTGGCTTTGAATGTCCTGTCTTTTTCTGTCTAACCTTTGGGAAGTTATTTATGTTCCTCTAGGTTTCAGTTTCCTCATCTGTAAAATGGGGCTAATATTAGCACCCACTAATGAACAAGTATGAAGCCCATAGTACAGTACCCGGCACATAGAAAGTTAAGGTCAGAGATACCTAGTAGTGACCATTAAATGAGACTAAACTGGACTGCATAGTGACATGCTATATGGGTGAGAAATGTTAGCTGTTGTTTGAAAGGTTTAGACTATCATCATTTCACTCAGTGGTGATCAGACCCATGTAAATTATTTTACACAATTCAGAGAAAGTGGGAAGACCGAAATTGAAGTTCATACCTTCCTTGCACGTATTAAATTTATCACTGCCCTGGTCACGGCTCAAAACCTGTAGTCACCTTGCTACTTCCCCCTTCTCAGCCCTCCCTGCTGTTAAAGAGAAAACCAAAGACCAGGTCACAGAGCCTGAGCAAATATGCCACACCAAGGCCCAGCAGAGCTGCAGAGTGGTAACTGAGAGTGATACTAATGCCTGATTTTTTTGATTTTTTATTGATTTTTTACAGAGAGGAAGGGAGAGGGAGAGAGAGTTAGAAACATCGATGAGAGAGAAACATCGATTCATCTGCCTCCTGCACACCCCCTAATGGGGATGTGCCCGCAACCAAGGTACATGCCCTTGACCAGAAGCAAACCTGGGGCCCTTCAGTCTTCAGGCCGATGCTCTACCCATGAGCCAAACCGGTTAGGGCTAATATGCCTGAATTTTTATCATATCTCTTAATTAAGCTGAGTGTCTGATCAAAAGGGAATTGTTAAAGAGAAAGCGGCAGGCTCAAAAAGGCGCATGCTGCCAAATCTAGATTTTAATATTTGATCCAATTGTACTTTCAACCTCTCCTGGAAACATAATCTTAATCAACTAGTCTGGAATTTTCTGGTAACACCAAGGAGATAATCTGCACTGTGGGCCCTCTCCACCTCCCATAGAAATAGGCAATCTGCATGATGAAAACCCTTCCTGATCTCTTCCCCTAAAAAAGATGTCCTGGCCCACAGACTCAGTTGATTTTTTTCTTCTAACATTGCCAATTACTAGGTAAATCCTCTCAGTTCTATGTGGTGATATTTTTCCATTCTTTTGCCACCACCCACATTCCCATTACCTCTTGCCTAGACAGCTGCAGCAGTCGCCTAAGAACCTTCTTCACTTCTAAACACTGCCTTCCCACCACCACCTCTCAGTCTCAGCACATGGAAATGTAAGCAACCTTAGGGAGCATCCAGTCAGCTGATTGGCAAACCTGCTACATCAGAATCACCACAGCAGCTTGATAAAAAGGGATAGTGCCCAGACCTGGAACCTGTAGGTCTGGGGACTAATTTAATCTGCCTCAACTGCTTCCCACCTCACATTGCTCCTGGATTTAGATGTAGAGTTATCCTTCTTGGTAGATAAACCAGGGGCCCCCGAGCAGGAGTGTTTGTCTTGGTGTCAGGAAGTGAACAGGAGATCCACTGTCAGAATCCTTGTCCACTCGAGGCACAGCCTTGATCAGAAGCTCTCGGTGACTCCCCTCTGCTTTCAGAGTGAGGCTAGAGCCACAACCAGCTTTCCCCACCCATCATGTAGAAGAAATCTGGATTCAGGAACTTCCTGAATAACAACACAGACTTACAACACAGAGCTGCTGGGCTGAGAGGAGGAACCTGGGGTTTCCGGACACCTCTGGTCTGTGGATCAAATACAGAACACAAGTGAGGCCGGGAAAATCCCCACTTGGTGGTTCTTCCAGAGGCTAAGACAAATACTAACAGGCACAGCTCTGTCCTCAATACGAGGTTTTCCCAGATTGTGGCTCCCGTCTTGCCCATTCCAGATGGATGATTCTGACTCAATCTGAGTTCAGTTACTGTATTCCCCTGGTGATCGAGGCATATTTACACCTGATGTTTGGAGGCAAAGCCTGGCTCTGGTGACACAGTCTCAGTGCTCTCAGCCCCCTGGCTGTGGAGCTTTTCCCAGTGAACTGCCTGTGTCACGGCCTGAGGCCTGTGCGGCATGCAGAGCCCCAGCTTAGCGGAGCCCTGAGCTTGGCTCAATGCCCTGCTTTCACCATTTTAGAATTTTTTTATAAATTAAATATTTTTAAATAAATATATTTTATTGATTTTTTACAGAGAGGACGGGAGAGGGATAGAGAGTTAGAAACATCGATGAGAGAGAAACATCAATCAGCTGCCTCCTGCATACCCCCCACTGGGAATGTGCCCGCAACCAAGGTACATGCCCTTGACCGGAATCGAACCTGGGACCCTTCAGTCCGCAGGCCGACTCTCTATCCACTGAACCAAACCGGTCAGGGCACCATTTTGGAATTTTTAAGAATTTGTGAACAAAGGTCCCACGTTTTTGCTTTGCACGGTTGCCCACATGCTCTGCAAGTGGTCCTGGCTGCCACAGGGGACCTGAGGGAGGTGGAGCCTGAGACGTTGCATTTCTGATGGGACCCGGGTAGTGCTGAAGCTTCTGGT